CAAATTCGGTCACCACAGCTTCCTTCCTTTTATTAACTACCAAGCCAACTAAACTTAAGCCGCCATCTTCTATCATACTAGCCCCGCCCACCCACCCTCTATTTTCTTGGAGAGCATGTGATTTGCCAAAATTAGTCTTATCTTAGCAAGTACTAGCTAGCTAAGATAAAACTGATTTTGGCAAATGAGATACCCTTCAAGAAAAGACAGGGCGGGTGGGCGGGGCTAATACCTTTTAAAGTAAGACCAATTTTGGCAAATGAGATATCCTCTAAAAAAAGAGAGGGCCGATGGGTGAGGCTAGAAAATGACTTCAACTAATTTTCAAGAATACTTGACAAGTGCTCAAAAGTGCCAAAATCAGTTTTATCTTATTCAAATACTAGCCCCGCCCACCCACCCTCTATTTCCTTGGAGGGCATGTGATTTGCCAAAATTAGTCTTATCTTAGCAAGTACTAGCTAGCTAAGATAGAACTGATTTTGGCAAATACGATACCCTCTAAGAAAAGACAGGGCGGGTGGGCGGGGCTAATACCTTTTAAAGTAAGACCAATTTTGGCAAATGAGGCTAGAAAATGACTTCAACTAATTTTCAAGTATACTTGACAAGTGCTCAAAAGTGCCAAAATCAGTTTTATCTTATTCAAATACTAGCCCCGCCCACCCACCCTCTATTTCCTTGGAGGGCATGTGATTTGCCAAAATTAGTCTTATCTTAGCAAGTACTAGCTAGCTAAGATAAAACTGATTTTGGCAAATGAGATACCCTTCAAGAAAAGACAGGGCGGGTGGGCGGGGCTAATACCTTTTAAAGTAAGACCAATTTTGGCAAATGAGATATCCTCTAAAAAAAGAGAGGACCGATGGGTGAGGCTAGAAAATGACTTCAACTAATTTTCAAAAAGACTTGACAAGTGCTCAAAAGTGCCAAAATCAGTTTTATCTTATTCAAATACTAGCCCCGCCCACCCACCCTCTATTTCCTTGGAGGGCACATTTTCAATTTTATGATTTTGGAATTTTCCATTTTTCGATTATGTATTTAATTTAAAATTTGTCAATTTTAATTTTTTCAATTTTTCGATCTTCCAATATTTGTTTTTGAACTTTACAATTCGACGATTTTATAATTTTGATTTTACAATTTTTGGGTTTACCAATTTTTCGAATCGTTTTTTTTTTTTCACTAATTTTTTCGATTATTAAGTTTCTCCATTTTTTGCTTTTCAATGTTTCAGTTTTTCGTTTGTTTAGTTTTTCGATTTTTATTTTTTCGATTTTTCAACTTTTCGAGGCAAAAAAATGGAAAAATTGCAAAATTGTAAAATAAAAAAGCGAAAAATTGTGATATAAAATCGAGAGACTAATTTTGGCAAATGAGATACCCTTCAAGAAAAGACAGGGCGGGTGGGCGGGGCTAATACCTTTTAAAGTAAGACCAATTTTGGCAAATGAGATATCCTCTAAAAAAAGAGAGGACCGATGGGTGAGGCTAGAAAATGACTTCAACTAATTTTCAAAAAGACTTGACAAGTGCTCAAAAGTGCCAAAATCAGTTTTATCTTATTCAAATACTAGCCCCGCCCACCCACCCTCTATTTCCTTGGAGGGCATGTGATTTGCCAAAATTAGTCTTATCTTAGCAAGTACTAGCTAGCTAAGATAAAACTGATTTTGGCAAATGAGATGCCCTTCAAGAAAAGACAGGGCGGGTGGGCGGGGCTAATACCTTTTAAAGTAAGGCCAATTTTGGCAAATGAGATATCCTCTAAAAAAAGTGAAGGCCGATGGGTGAGGCTAGAAAATGACTTTAACTAATTTTCAAAAATACTTGAAAAGTGCTCAAAAGTGCCAAAATCAGTTTTATCTTATTCAAATACTAGACCCGCCCACCCACCCTGTATTTTCTTGGAGAGCATGTGATTTGCCAAAATTAGTCTTATCTTAGCAAGTACTAGCTAGCTAAAATAAAACTGATTTTGGCAGATGACATACCTCCTAAGAAAACAAAGGGTGGGTGGGCGGGGCTAGTATCTGCTAAGATAAGACCGATTTTAGCACATGACGTATCCTCTAAGAAATTTAATTAAATTATTATAAGAAAAGATACTGCAGCCTCCAAAGCACTTTCAAATTCTTTCCAAACAGGAATACCTAGAACCTCAAAATTATGTATCATTGTTTACTAATAATTCTGTGCTAAACTCGACTGGGTTAAAATTCTCTTTTGTGAGAAGAACCAGATATAATAATCCCAACAGGTCAAGTAAACGATTCGTACAGAAAAACAAAACAAAACTTTTTTCCTAAGAATCTATCAAACGCAAAACACTAAGAAAAGAGAGGGTCGGTGGGCGGGGGCTAGTATTAGCAATCACTGGCTTTACTTACTTACTATTGTACTACTATCCGTCTCGTTATTGCCAATAAAATTTTATAGGGTAGAATGAAATTTCCAAAACTACTAGCTTCATCCGCCCGCTCTCTTTTTACTTCCCGAGCGTAAGCAAAGGAAGTATTGTAATCGAGTCCGTCGGCCGACTCTCTACTTTTACGTTTTCTCGATCTTTCATGACCCCTAGAAGACGAAGAAATAGGTCTCCCATTTCCGTCTGTCTGTCCGTCTGTCCGTCTGTCCGTCCGTCTGTCCGTCCGTCTGTCCGTCTGTCCGTCTGCCGTCCCGGATTTTTATTAGACAGATAATCTCCGAAAGTACTCGACCGATTGTTGTGAAATTTTGTACTTATATTAAGAATATCATGTAGATGGTAAAACGCTAACCAAAATTTGTCTAATCATCCCCACCACTAATGCGATGACGTCACTTCAAAATTGTACATAGTAAATGGGTTTTCAAATGTATAAAATAACATAGTCCTACACATGTAGTTTACAACTCTGAATCGACTTTTCACCCGAAACGTCCAGATTTTTGGAAAAAAAATCAAAATTATAAAACAACATTTTGAAATTTAATTTTTAATCTGCTAACCAGAATGCTTTGAAATGTTGCAGATGTTTTAAGGCTATAAAGAGCATCATAAATCTTTAGTCAAAAAATATTTGCTTATCCCCTCCAAAAACTTGATGACGTCAGCTCAAAAGTTTGTGGAATAAATCATATCTAAAATGTACAAAATATGATGAGTCTGTACTTGTGATCTATCACCTCATTCATATTTTTTGGATTTGCATATACAGGGTGATTCAAGAAAATAAATGAAAGCGTAAATTTATTTTACTGATTTACTCAGGAATTACAAAACCGAATGCTTCGAAATCTTGATGATATTTTAAAATTATCATAAGCATGGTAAATTTTTGATCAAAATGTATTTGGTCGTCCCCCCTAAAAAATTTATGACGTCACCACAAAATTTTGCTGAATAAATCCTATCTAAAATGTACAAAATATTGTGAGTCTCTTCTTGTGATTTATCATTCCATTCAAATTTTTTCGATTTGCATATACCGGGTGACTCAAAAAAATTAATGAATGCGTAAATTTATTTTATTGATTTAATCAGGAACTACAAAACGGAATGCTCTGACATCTTGCAGATGTTTTAAGGTTATAAAGAGCATAATAAATTTTTAGTCAAAATGTATTTGGTTATCTTCTACAAAAAACTGATGACGTCAGCTCAAAAGTTTGCCGAATAAATCGTATCTAAAATGTACAAAATATGATGACTCTGTACTTGTGATCTATCACTCCATTCATATTTTTGGATTTGCATATGCAGGGTGACTCAAAAAAATTAATGAAGGCGTGAATTTATTTTATTTTATCGATTTAATCAGGAATTACAAAAACGAATGCTTTGAAATCTTGGGAATATTTTAAAGTTATTATAAGCATGGTAAACTTTTGTTCAAAATGTATTTGTTCATCCCTCCTAAAAAATTGATGACGTCACCCTTAAATTTTGCTGAATAAATCCTATCTAAAATGCAAAAAATATGATGAGTTTGTACTTGTGCTTTATCATTCCATTCATATTTTTTAGATTTTCTTAAGAGGTGGTTCAAAAAAATTAATGAAGTCAATTTATTTTATTGATTAAATTAAAGGCAACACTTATTATTAGTATTACACCCCAACCAACCCAATTTGGTAGACACAAAATTTGTTAAAGGAAAAACTCGGTTGAAACATAAGGGTAGCACGCTTATTTACATCGACTTTAACATTACAGACCTGCATTTGTTTTATGCGCTCACTTGGTTCCGCGAATGTGAAATAGGCATGTTTATAATCAACCAATTGTGAATTTCACCGTCAAGAATTAAAATAAAACCCAATGTTTTATATAATAAGCGGAAGTCGAAGCAATAAAACCGATGGTCGTTTTGTTTACAGTTTCTCTGTTTGACTCTCACGTATGCTGTTACGCCTGTCATCTTAAATTAAGAATGTTTATACATACACGATTTTCAGTTGCCTCTGATACGTATACGTGAGTAAATTGTTTCGTTATTTTATTGATTATTACAAATCAATATTCAAAACGACCCAATTCATTTTCCCGAAAATTTGAGAATATAATAATTTTATTCTTAGTATTACACTACATCTATCCTAACTGATACACGTGTCCTTGCAAAAATGTTGATGACGTCATCGCAATTTTTTTTTTAAATTCCCACTACAAAAATGTAATGAGAAAAAAACACAATAGGCATGCAGTCGTCAAGTTTCCGACAGCGAGGGAAGTACTGTCTAAACTCTTTAGACCAATTTTTTCTTAGAGTGTATGTCATTTGCCAAAATCAGTCTTATTGTAGCAAGAACTAGTCCCGCCCACCCGCCCACTCTTCTTTTAGACGGTATCTCATCTGCCAAAATCAGTCTTATCTTATATCTAACAATTTACAAAAAAGGGTGGGTGGGCAGGGCCAATACTTTTAAAATTAAATTTTTATTTAATACCCTTATAAGGTGTAAACTAGAATATTATTGTCTGATCTGGAGGCCGCAAAAAAACAAAAACAACGTACTTTTCTCTATTTATTACGAAAATACTTCTTAAAAAATTTCTCATTGCTTTTGATTCAGACCTTACACATATAGGAAGCCAATAATACTGTTGATATTATTTGAATGTCAAAGGTTTCTAACTAGCTAACAATACTATAAGTTAAATAATAAACCTACACATTTAACATGTCAACCGTGGTTTATAAACAAAATAGACGTCTTCTCTATATCTTTCCTATAAGTTATATATATTCTAAAAATAGTGTTAATAAAGCTGGAATGTGGCCCGAGATTTACTAACCAAATACTCTTCTTGTCATAAAGAGTTGTCAAATTTTTCACCAATCCAATTCATTGGGAATTTGTTCAGGGTATTCACCAGTCAAACACGCAGTGCAGTGGCCTTTGTCAGCCCCCTTTTCAATATTTCGCTGCACGGCTTTCACCAACCCTTCAACACTTAAATACTCCAAACTATCAGCCCCTAAAATTTTTACAAATTTGGAATACAACCAACACAAAGATTTTTATTTTCATACCAACTTTACTAGCGAGACTCTTTGAATCCAGATCATTTGCAATCAATTCCTCTTTAGTGGGGATGTTAATCCCCATGTAACACGGGTACTTCAGGGGCGGACTCGCCACCCTTATATGAACCTCTTTAGCTCCGGCTCGCCGCAATAATTTAATAATGGGGCCAATCGTGTTACCCCGGACTATGGAGTCGTCGATTAATATGATTCTCTTACCCTTGACGTTCGTGCCAATTGGACCTAAACATTTTTTTTTATTAATAATAATTACAACATAAACATATTTATTTAATTATGTATTAATTTGTAACTTACTGAATTTCAGTGCTACATTGAGCTGTCGCAACCGATTCGTCGGTTGGATGAAAGTCCTCCCCACGTAAGTGTTCTTCGTGAGTAGCTCCCCCATGGGAAGCTTCGACTCCTTGGAGTAGCCAAAGGCGGCGGCGTTTCCCGACTCCGGGACCGAGCCTACGATGTCGGCTTCCACCGGGTGTTCGATGGCGAGTTGTCTTCCGCAGTGCGAACGCACGCTGTAGACTTCCTGGCCCTCGAAAATACTGTTGGGTCGGGCGAAGTAAACGTACTCAAAGATGCAGAATGCTAGCTGCTTGTCGGCCGGTCTTCTGACGATGTCGACGGTGCGGACTCCTTGGTGGGTCATTTCGATTATTTCTCCTGGGAGGACCTCGCGGACGTAGCGCGTGATTGTCAAGAAGGCGCAGGATTCGGAGGATACTAGCCATCCTTCGGGTTGTACGTCTTCGTTTTCTGCTGCGAAATAAATTAGGGGGGAATTCAGTTTTTGATGTTTTTTTTTTAAATAACAAATAAATGGCTACTTTTATGTTTTCTGGAGGTTATAAGGTATTTTTCGTTTTTTTCAGCTTTGATTTGTTTAATTTTTCAATTTCTCGACTTTCACGTTTTTCAAGTTCATGTTTGTGTTTCATTTTCCCGATTTTTTCATTTTCATTTTCTCGATTTTATATCACAATTTTTCGTTTTTTTATTTTTTTATTTTTTTAACGTTTCTTTCGATTTTATAATTTTTCGTTTTTTTACTTTACAAATTTGCAATTTTTCATTTTTTTTGCCTCGAAAAGTTGAAAAATCGAAAAATTAAAAATACAAGAACTGAAAAAACGAAAAATTTAAACGTTGAAAAGTTAAAAATTGAGAAACTTGATAATAGATAAAAAAATAGTGAATCGAGAAATTGGAAAGAAGAAAAAACGAATCGAAAAATTGGAAAACCAAAAATTGTAAAATCGAAAAACTATAGAATCTTCATTTCAAAAACTTTAGCATTGGAAGATCGAAAAATCGCAAATCGAAAAGTCCAGAAATCGAAAATTTTCACATAAAATATATAAAAAATCAAGACTGAAAAACCGAAAAACGGGAAAAAATTTTTGAATTTGCATTTTTGCGATTTTATATCCAATTTTTCGTTTTTTCATTTCCTTTATTTTTTCAATGTCTCTTTCCATTTTATAATTTTTCAAATCTTTGATTTTTCAATTCCTCGAATTTACAATTTTTTAGTTTTTTAATTTTGCAACTTTTGGATTTCCAATTATTAGTTTTTCTAAATTCAGTAATTTTCAATATTTCGATTTTACAAAACTCATTTGTTTTTTCTGTTTTGCACTTTTTGATTTTTAAGTTTCTCAATTTTTAACGTTTCGATTTTTCAATTTTTCGTTTTATTAAATTTTCAAAGCTTTCATGTTATATTTTTTCGTTTTTTTATTTATTTTACAATTTTGCAATTTTTCCAATCTTTTTTTGTTTCAAAAAGTTGAAAAATCGAAAAACTAAAAAAATGGAAAAAATTAAAAAATCAAAAAATTGCAAATCGAAAAACTAAACAAACGAAAAACTGAAACATTGAAAAGCTAAAAATCGAGAAACTTAATAATCGAAAAAAATTAGTGAATCGAAAAATTGGAAAGAAAAAAAAAACGAATCCAAAAATTGTAAAATCAAAATTATAGAATCGTCAAAATTGTAAAGTTCAAAAACTAATATTGGAAGATCCAAAAATTGAAAAAATTAAAATTGACAAATTTTAAATTAAATACATAATTGAAAAATGGAAAATTCCAAAATCGTAAAATTGAAAATGTGATTTTCTTTTTTAAATTACAATTATAAATTTAAAATGAAATCCAGAAAAAATGCAAATCGAAACTTGAAAAATCGAAAAACTGAAAAACCAAAAAGATTAGTAATATAAAAACTAAAAATTCGTGAAAATTTCAAGTTATTGATTTCTCTTTTTCATTTTCCTGATTTTTGAATTTGCATTTTCTCGATTTTATATCCAATTTTTCGTTTTTTCATTTCCTTTATTTTTTCAATGTCTCTTTCCATTTTATAATTTTTCGTTCATTTAATTTTTCAAATCTTTGATTTTTCAATTCCTCGAATTTCCAATTTTTTAGTTTTTTAATTTTGCAACTTTTGGATTTCTAATTATTAGTTTTTCTAAATTCAGTAATTTTCAATATTTCGATTTTACAAAACTTATTCGTTTTTTTCTGTTTTGCACTTTTTGATTTTTAAGTTTCTCAATTTTTAATATTTCGATTTTTTCATTTTTCGTTTTATTAAATCTTCAAAGCTTTCATGTATATTTTTTCGTTTTTTTATTTATTTTACAATTTTGCAATTTTTCCATGTTTTTTTGTTTCAAAAAATTGAAAAATCGAAAAACTAAAAAATTGGAAAAAATTAAAAAATCAAAAAATTGCAAATCGAAAAACTAAACAAATGAAAAACTGAAACATTGAAAAGCTAAAAATCGAGAAACTTAATAATCGAAAAAAAATAATGAATCGAAAAATTGGGTAAAAAAAAGAATCCAAAAATTGGTAAACCCAAAAATTGTAAAATCAAAATTATAGAATCGTCAAAATTGTAAAGTTCAAAAACTAATATTGGAAGATCGAAAAATTGAAAAATAAAAATTGACAAATTTTAAATTAAATACATAATCGAAAAATGGAAAATTCCAAAATCGTAAAATTGAAAATGTGATTTTCTTTTTTAAATTACAATTATAAATTTAAATGAAAACCAGAAAAAAAGCAAATCGAAACTTGAAAAATCGAATAACTGAAAAACGAAAAAAATTAGTAAAATAAAAACTAAAAATTCGTGAAAATTTCAAGTTCTTGATTTCTCTTTTTCATTTTCCCGATTTTTGAATTTGCATTTTGTCGATTTTATATCCAATTTTTCGTTTTTTCATTTCCTTTATTTTTTCAATGTCTCTTTCCATTTTATAATTTTTCGTTCATTTAATTTTTCAAATCTTTGATTTTTCAATTCCTCGAATTTCCAATTTTTTAGTTTTTCAATTTTGCAACTTTTGGAATTCCAATTATTAGTTTTTCTAAATTCAGTAATTTTCAATATTTCGATTTCACAAAACTCATTCGTTTTTTTCTGTTTTGCACTTTTTGGTTTTTAAGTTTCTCAATTTTTAATATGTATTTCGATTTTTTCATTTTTCGTTTTATTAAATTTTCAAAGCCTTCATGTTATAGTTTTTCGTTTCTTTATTTATTTTACAATTTTGCAATTTACCATGTTTTTTTGTTTCAAAAAGTTGAAAAATCGAAAAACTAAAAAAAATTAAAAAAATTAAAAAAATTAAAAAATCAAAAAATTGCAAATCGAAAAACTAAACAAACGAAAAACTGAAACATTGAAAAGCTAAAAATCGAGAAACTTAATAATCGAAAAAAATTAATGAATCGAAAAATTGGAAAGAAAAAAAAACGAATCCAAAAATTGTAAAATCAAAATTATAGAATCGTCAAAATTGTAAAGTTCAAAAACTAATATTGGAAGATCGAAAAATTGAAAAAACTAAAATTGACAAATTTTAAATTAAATACATTATCGAAAAATGGAAAATTCCAAAATCCTAAAATTGAAAATGTGATTTTCTTTTTTAAATTACAATTATACATTTAAAATCAAAACCAGAAAAAATGCAAATCGAAACTTGAAAAATCGAATAACTGAAAAACGAAAAAAATTAGTAAAATAAAAACTAAAAATTCGTGAAAATTTCAAGTTCTTGATTTCTCTTTTCCAGTTTCCCGATTTTTGAATTTGCATTTTCGCGATTTTATTTCTAATTTTTCGTTTTTTCATTTCCTTTATTTTTTCAATGTCTCTTTCCATTTTATAATTTTTCGTTCATTTAATTTTTCAAATCTTTGATTTTTCAATTTCTCGAATTTCCAATTTTTTAGTTTTTCAATTTTGCAACTTTTGGATTTCCAATTATTAGTTTTTCTAAATTCAGTAATTTTCAATATTTCGATTTTACAAAACTTATTCGTTTTTTTCTGTTTTGCACTTTTTGATTTTTAAGTTTCTCAATTTTTAATATTTCGATTTTTTCATTTTTCGTTTTATTAAATTTTCAAAGCTTTCATGTTATATTTTTTCGTTTTTTTATTTATTTTACAATTTTGCAATTTTTCCATGTTTTTTTGTTTCAAAAAGTTGAAAAATCGAAAAACTAAAAAATTGGAAAAAATTGCAAATCGAAAAAATAAACAAACGAAAAACTGAAACATTGAAAAGCTAAAAATCGAGACACTTGATCGAAAAAAATTAGTGAATCGAAAAATTGGAAAGAAAAAAAAAAACGAATCCAAAAATTGGTAAACCCAAAAATTATAAAATCAAAATTATAGAATCGTCAAAATTGTAAAGTTCAAAAACTAACATTGGAAGATCGAAAAATTGAAAAAATTAAAATTGATAAATTTTAAATTAAATACATAATCGAAAAATGGAAAATTCCAAAATCGTAAAATTGAAAATGTGATTTTCTTTTTTAAATTACAATTAAAAATTTAAACTGAAAACCAGAAAAAATGCAAATCGAAACTTAAAAAATCAAAAACTGAAAAACGAAAAAAATTAGTAAAATAACAACTAAAAATTCGTGAAAATTTCAAGTTCTTGATTTCTCTTTTTCATTTTCCCGATTTTTGAATTTGCATTTTCTCGATTTTATATTCAATTTTTCGTTTTTTCATTTCCTTTATTTTTTCAATGTCTCTTTCCATTTTATAATTTTTTGTTCATTTAATTTTTCAAATCTTTGATTTTTCAATTCCTCGAATTTCCAATTTTTTAGTTTTTCAATTTTGCAACTTTTGGATTTGCAATTATTAGTTTTTCTAAATTTTGTAATTTTCAATATTTCGATTTTACAAAATTTATTTGTTTTTTTCTGTTTTGCACTTTTTGACTTTTAAGTTTCTCAATTTTTAATATTTCGATTTTTTAATTTTTCGTTTTATTAAATTTTCAAAGCTTTCATATTATATTTTTTCGTTTACTTATTTTACAATTTTGCAGTTTTTCCATGTTTTTTGCTTCAAAAAGTTGAAAAATCAAAAATTGAAAATCGAAAAACTAAAAAATTTCAAAAAATTGAAAAATCGAAACATTGCAAATCGAAGAACTGAACAAACGAAAAACTGAAACATTGAAAAGCAAAAAATGGAGAAACTTAATAATCGAACAAATTAGTGAAAAAAAAAAACGAATCGAAAAATTGGTAAACCCAAAAATTGTAAAATCAAAATTATAGAATCGTCGAATTGTAAAGTTCAAAAACAAATATTGGAAGATCGAAAAATTGAAAAAACTAAAATTGACAAATTTTAAATTAAATATATAATCGAAAATTGGAAAATTCCAAAAACATAAAATTGAAAATGTGATTTTCTTTTTTCAATTACAATTATAAATTTAAAATGAAAACTAGAAAAAATGCAAATCGAAACTTGAAAAATCGAAAAACTGAAAACCGAAAAATTTGAAAAATCCAGAAAGAGAAAAATTTCACATTAAAAAAAAATATATAAAATTAAAACAACGAAAAACCGAAAAATTGAAAAAATTAACTTCTTGATTTTTATTTTCATTTTTCCGATTTTTTAATTTTCTCGATTTTATATCCAACTTTTAGTTTTTTGAATTCCTTTTTTTCAATGTTTCTTTTGATTTTATAATTTTTCGTTGAATCAATTTTTCAAATCTTTGATTTTTCAATTCCTCGATTTTCCAATTTTTTAATTTTTCAATTTCCAATTATTAGTTTTCCTGATTTCAGTAACTTTCAATATTTCGATTTTACAAAATATATTTCGTTTTTTCGGTTTTGCAATTTTCGATTTTTAAGTTTCTCAATTTTTAATCTTTCGATTTTTCAATTTTTCATCGTTTTATATTTTTTCGTTTTTTTATTTTACAATTTTTTTTATTCGAAAAGGTGAAAAATTGAAAATCGAAGAACTGAAAAAACGAAAAATTGAAATGTTGAAAAGCTCAAAATCGAGAAACTTGATAATTGAAAAAATTAGTAAATCGAAAAATTGGAAAGAAAAAAAAACGGATCGAAAAATTGGAAAACCCAAAAACTGTAAAATCGAAAAATTTTAAATCAAATACATAATCGAAAATTGTAAAATTCTAAAATCGTAAAATCGCAAATGTGAATTTTTTTTAAGTATTTAAAATGGAAACTAGAAAATTGTAAATTGAAGGTTGAAAAATTCGAAAAATCCAGAAATAGAAAAATTTCACAACAAAATAAAAACATTGAAAAGCCGAAAAATTGAACAAAAATAAGAAAATAACTAAAAATTCCTGCAATTTTCAAGCTCTAGATTTTTAATTTTCATTTTTCCGATTTTTTAATTTTCAATTCCTCGATTTTCCAATTTTTCAATTTTTCAATTTTGTAATTTTCGATTTCCAATTATTATTAGTTCTCCTGAATTCAGTAATTTTCAATATTTCGATTTTACAAAACATATTTCGTTTTTTCGTTTCATTAAATTTTCAAGTTCTTGATTTAAGATTTTTAGGTTTTTCAAAGCTTTCTTTATTTATTTTTTCGTTTTTCTATTTTACAATTTTGCAATTTTTCCATTTATTTTGCTTCGAAAAATTAAAAATGGAAAAACCAAAAAATTGGAAAAAATTGAAAAATCGAAACATTACAAATCGAAAAACTGAAGAAACGAAAAACTGAAATATTGAAAAGCTAAAAATCGAGAAACTTAATAATCGATAAAAAAATAGTCAATCGAAAAATTGGAAAGAAGAAAAATTGGTTAACCCAAAAAATGTGAAATCAAAATTGTAATATTGTCAAAATTGAAAGTTCAAAATCTGTAACATTGGAAAATCGAAAAATTGAAAAATTTTAAATTAAATACATAATCCAAAAAATGGAAAATTATAAAATTGTAAAATTGAAAACGTGAAAATTGTTAAAATTATAAATATAAAATGAGAACTAGAAAAATTGCAAATCGACAGTTGAAAAATCGAAAACTGAAAAATTCGAAAAATCCAGAAATAGAAAAATTTCACATAAATAAATATAAAAATCAAAACAACGAAAAACCGAAAAATTGAAAAAATTAGGAGAATAAAAATTCGTGAAATTTTCATTTTCTTGATTTTATATACAAGTTGCAGTTTTTCATTTCCTTATTTTTCAATGTTTCTTTTGATTTTATAATTTTTCGTTGATTCAATTTTTCATATCTTTAATTTTTTCATATCTTCGATTTTGCAATTTTTTGACTTCCAATTATTAGTTTTTCTGAATTCAGTAATTTTCAATATTTCGATTTTACAAAATATATGTCGTTTTTCGGTGTTGCACTTTTCGATTTTTAAGTTTCTCAATTTTTAATCTTTCGATTTTTCAAAGCTTTCATTTTATATTTTTTCGTTTTTTTCTTTTAAAATTCTGTAATTTTCCATTTTTTTATTCGAAAAGTTGAGAAATTGGAAAAATATTAAAATATTGAAGTATAGAAAAGCCAAAAATGGAGAAACTTAATAAAAAAAAATGGAAAATCCAAAAATTAAAAATCTAATTGAAAAATGGAAAAATTATAAAATTGTAAAACTAAAAATGTTTTTTTAAATAATAAATATTATTACATACTTAGAATGAAAACTATAAAAATTACAAATACAAAATTGAAGAAAGGAAAAATTAATAAAACCGAAAAGCTGAAACATCGAAAAACTAAAAACTGAAAAATTCCAAATCGAAAAATCAGAAATTTGAAAATTTCATATTAAAAAAATTCACATATATAATCAGAACATTGAATAAACCGAAAAATTGAAAAACCTAAAAATTGAAACATCCAAAAACTGGAAAATTGAGAAATTGAAAAATTAAAAAATGAAAATTTGAATAGCTGCATGTCGTGAAATCGAAGAAAAAAAATGAAAAATCGAAAAGTTGAAGAAAGGAAAAATCAAGAAAAATTGGAATTGAAGAAACAAGAAATTATAAAATTGGAACATTGCAAAATCGAAAAATTGTAAAGACAATAAAAAACGGAACCAAAAATTGCAAATCTAAAATTTGAAGAAATGAAAAAGTTTTATAATCCAATAATTTAAAAGTGGAAAATTTTAAAAATTATTATCATTTGTACATATTTAAATGAATACCAGAAAGTAGCTAACCAAAAATTGAAGAAACGAAAAATTGAAAAATCTAGAAGTTGAAAAATCTAAAAACTGCATATCGAAAAATTGGAAAATCCAAAAATTTAAACAATTACATTAAAAAATATATAAAATCAGAACATTGACAAACTGAAATGTAAAAAAATTAAAGAAAATAAAAATTGAAATACAAAATTGTACACAAAAATTGAAAATTTTCACATTAAAAAAATTAAGAAAATCAAAACTAAAAATTTGTGAAATTTTCAAGTTCTTGATTTTTATTTTTCATTTTCCCGATTTTTTAATTTTCAGTTTCTCGATTTTATATCCAATTTTCGTTTTTTCATTTCCAATTATTACTTATTAGTTTTTCTGACTTGTCATTTTCAATATTTCGATTTTACAAAACATATCTCGTTTTTTCTGTTTTGCACTGTTTCATTAAATTTTCAAGTTCTTGATTCAAAATTTTAAGATTTTTCAAAGATTTCATTTCATATTTTGTCGTTTTTTTATTTTACAACTTTGCATTTATTGAAAGCGAAAAACTGCAAATCGAAAAATAGAACATCCAAAAATTGAAAAAAAAAATCAACACTGCAAAACCGAAAAGTAGAAAAAATAAAAAATCGAAATTCATGAAATTGTAAATCGAAAAATTGCAGAATCTAAAAACGGAAACATCCAACAGTTGGAAAATCGAAAAACTGAAAAATTTAAAAATGAAAATTTGAACAGTTGCAGGTCGTGAAATTGAAGAAACAAAAAAATGAAAAATCGAAAAATTGGGGAAAGAAAAAATTGACAAAAATTGGAATTGAAGAAATAAAAAATTATAGAATTGGAATATTGGAAATCGAAAAATTGTAAAAAGACAATAAAAAACGAAAACGAAAAACTAAATCGAAAAATTGAAAAATTAAAAATTTGAAACTCGAATAAATGAAAAAGTTTTAAAATCCAATTATAAAAAATTGAAAAATTCTAAAACTGCAAAATTGAAAAATTACGAAATTCTAAAATATGAAGAAACAAGAAATTATAAAATAGAAACATTGAAAAATCAAATATTTGAAATAATATAGAAAAAAAACCTCGAATCGAAAAATTGCAATATTTAAAAAATGAAAAATTCAATAATTGGAAACTTGAAAAACTGAAAAATTTAAACTTGAAAAACTCCAAAAATTGAAGAAAGGAAAAATTGGAATTGAAGAAACAAAAAATGAAAAAATAGAACACTGAAAAATCGACAGATTGTAAAAAGATAATAAAAAACGGAAAAATCTAAAATTGTAAAATTTTAAAAATTATTATTATTTGTATATGTTTAAATGAAAACCAAAAATTGAAGAAACCAAAAACTGAAAAATCAATTTTAAATTGGAAAAACGAAAAATTAAAACATCTGAAAGTTAAAAATTGAAACCCAAAAATTGCACATCGAAAAATTGGAAACCAAAAATTGAACAATTTTACACTGAAAAATGAGAAATTATAAAATCGGAACACTGAAAAACCGAAAAGTACAAAAAGTAAAGAAAATAAAAGATCGAAACGAAAAATTGAACATTCCTAAAAGTTGGAAAATCAAAAAACTGAAGAAACCAAAAAATAATAAACTGAAAAATTTCAAATCAAAAAATTGAAGAAACGAAAGACTGAAAAAATTGAAACTGAAAAAACAAAAAATTATAAAATCGAAACACTGAAAAATTGAAAAACTGTAAACATGAAGAAAATAGATAACAGAAACGAAAAATTTCAAATCGAAAATTGAAGAACAAAAAAAATGGAAAATGCAAGTCAAAAAGCTGTGGAAGTGTTATGTTAAATTTTGTATAATTTTTCAAAAAAGCAGGGTTTGTTGGGCTGTATTTTAACGGCGGGGGAAATTCTGTCGAAATAACCTTCCACCAATTTTTTGTTTATTATTATTATATGTGAGACACCCTGTATATTTTTCGTTAGTTTGCAACGTACCGTCATAGTTCGGTGGAAGAATCTTCCCCAAACACAGAGGCCGATTCCCATAGGGGTCCCTCATAGCGTAAATCCGATCCTTCAGCATCAAAACCACCGAATAACTCAAGGGGGCCAACTGCATCAAGTGCCTTATCCTCGCCGGCCAATCCGGCCCGTTCACCTCCCCCTCTGGCGGAATCAAACACAGAGCTTGCGTGATAATCTCGCTATCAGAGTGCGTAGAGAGCCCCACCCCCCTATCCAGAACCATCTTCCTCAAACTCGAGCAATTAACCAACTCCCCATTGTGCGCAGTTGCCAGAGATCCATGCATTGAGTGGACCACGAAAGGCTGGCAATTCACGGCCGCCGACGCCGCCCTCGTCGCGTATCTGGTGTGCCCGATCCCCAACGAGCCCCTCAGCTTGCCGATATTGTCTTTATTGAACACGTTCTTCACCAACCCCATCCCTTTGTGGATGTGGAACTCGTTCGAGCCATCGCTTGTCACAACGCCGCATGACTCTTGACCCCTACAAATTAAGCGCGACGGTTTATCAAAACAACGATAACTTTTGAACTTACCGGTGCTGCAGCGCTTCCAACCCGATGCAGATGATTTGGGCTATGTCTGCATTGCCGGTCAGCCACTCAGTGGCCCCAATTGCGGCGAAAACCCCACATTCGTGGGTCAACCCGGTTGAGAATTCGTCTCGTGGGGCACCTGAAGACATGTTCTGTTTTGAAAATGCCAGTCACGTGGAAGTTTGAGGTTATCAAGCCACCTGTGGATTGGAAAAGTGACAGGTGGGCAGAGGCGGCTCGTGATTTGCTTTCGACAAGGAAACTCCGTTTTAAAAAGTATCAGTATTTATTATTTACATTATATTAAACAATCCAGTAACATTATGGTGATTTGACAATAAAGAAATAAATAAAAACATTTACAATAGACATTATGTACACAATGAATTGTAAAAATAAAGTATGTGATAAAAATATAAAACTTTATACTGAACCTTAACATAATAATTGCTTGAACTTAGCACTTAATAATACTAACAAAAACAAATATAAAATATAAATCTGAAATATTTCAGTTCAGTAATCTAAGATCAAATCTAGGTAGTATGACTATTTTTGTAAACTTCTCCACCTACTAGTGATTTCAGTAAACTGTAAGTACTAACGATGTGCTCTCGGGGAACCACCAATTTGCGAACGTCCTTACGATTTACCAAAACTGATTCTTTACAAGTAAATGCTAGTGTGCCATTGTGTAACTAAGATCCATGCATTCTGCGTAACTCGTCTTTTCTTTTTCTTCGGCCGGCGGACTGTCACACTCCTCCAGAAACTTGATCACTTTCTCGGTGGCTTTAATTGCGCAGACGCTGGAGGCTTCAGTCTGAAACGCGACATTAGCGCTTATCGTCACACAAACAAATACTCACCGATGCGGTTAGATTCATAAAATTGAAGAATTTTTTCAAAAGTTCCACCATGTCGGCGAAATTGTTCCCTCGTAGAAACTGGCGGACGTTGTACTGGTATTCCTTGTTGTCCATTATTAAAAATCCAGTAAGCATTACGATGTAAGAAGCCAAAAATGTGTATTCCATGTGGGTGCCAGCCTTCTGGAGTACTAGAAAATAAAATCGGTCATCGAGATGGAAACTAGTGACGATTTTAGTTACATTTTGCGACGGTTTCTTCTATGAATTCTTCGTTCGACTTGTAAGCCACGGGTGCGCTGTCTGCGTCCTTCTCGCCGTCCAAGATGGCGTTGGTGCGCTTTTCCGCTATTTTTGCGCAGCCTTCCCAATGGTAGAACTGGGCGATCAAGGCCTCCACCGCGCTTTCTTCGCCTACATACAAATATTAACATTAAAAAATTTGAAGAGTTATTGAGTTGACGTTTAAATCAAATTTTTGACAGCCACAGTGACATAGGTTCATAGCTAACTAAGATCTAGCGTTCCCTAAACTCAAAAATTTGTCCACCGCCAACGCAATCTACCTCCGCTACTGGGGTGGAATTTTATTTCTATAACGATAAAATATCGGTACCGATAAAATGTGGTCGTCTTTTTCATTCGCATTTGAAGTTTATATTTTCGTCCTTGTCATTTATCGCTTCGTATCGTATCGGTAAAAACAAAATCGCACCCCTGGTATCTGTTAAGATAAAACTAATTTTGGTAAATGGCATACCCAAAAAAATCTTCTATTTGCAATTTTTCGTTTCTAACTTTTAATTTTCTTCATCTTTACAATTTATCGATTTTTCAGTGTTGTGATTTTATAATTTTTTGTTTTTTCAATTTCAGTTTTTTCACTTTTTGATTTCTTCAATTTTACGATATGCAACTTTGAGTTTTCATTTTTAAATTTTTCAGTTTTTAGATTTCCCAACTTTTAGATGACATTAATTTTTTGTTTTTTCAACGCTTCGGTTTTTCAATTTTTGGATTTTTCAAATTTTAGATTTTTTAATTTGTTGTTTTTCCAATTAACTTTTCAGTTTCACGATTTTTCAATTTTCCGTTTCTTCAATGTTTGATTTGCAATTTTTCTAGTTTTCATTTTAAGCAAAAATTTTTCACTTTTTGGATTTTCCAATTTTTCGATTTGCAATTTTTGGCTTTCAATTTTTAACTTTTAGATTTTTTAATTCTTCGTTTTTCCAATTTTTGGTTTTCATTTAAACATGTACAAACGATAATTTAAAAATTTTTTCAATTTTACAATTTTAGAATTTTTTTGGATTTGAAAAGTTGTTAAGTTAGTCGACATTCAAATTTTCAATTTATCCATTCTTCAATTTTTTTTCTCCAAATTTTCTATTTGCAATTTTTCGTTTCTAACTTTTTATTTTCTTCATTTTTACAATTTTTCGATTTTTCAGTGTTCTGATTTTATAATTATTTGTTTTTTTAATATCAGTTTTTTCACTTTTTGATTTCTTCAATTTTTCGATTTGCAATTTTTCAGTTTCTTTATTTCTTCAAATTTACAATATGCAACTCTGTGAGTTTTTATTTTTAAATTTTTCAGTTTTTAGATTTTTCGACTTTTAGATGTCATTAATTTCTTATTTTTTCAACTTTTCGGTTTTTCAATTTTTGGATTTTTCGGTTTTTCAATTTTTGGATTTTTCGTTTTCCAATTTTAACTTTTCAGTTTCACGATTTTTCAATTTTCCGTTTCTTCAATGTTTCATTTGCAATTTTTCTAGTTTTCATTTTAAGTAAATTTTTTCAATTTTTGGATTTTCCAATTTTTCGATTCGCAATTTTTAGCTTTCAATTTTTAACTTCTAGATTTTTAAATTTTTCGTTTTTCCAATTTAAAATTAATTTTTCAGTTTTTAGTTTCTTCAATTTTTGGTTTTCATTTAAACATGTACAAATGATAACAATTTAAAAAAATTTTCAATTTTATAATTTATCCATTTATTCATTCTTCTGCAGTTTTTATTGTTCTCAATTTAAATATGCACAAAAATGTTCTAATAATTTTTAAAATTGTTCAATTTTACAATTTTAGAATTTTTCCGTTTTTCAATTTTTGGATTTGAAAATTTTTCATTTATTCGACATTCAAATTTTCAATTTATCGAAAAGGTGAAAAATGGAAAACTTAAAAAATTGAGAAATCGAAACATGAAAAAATAGACAGTTCAAAAATTTAAAATCTAAAAACCGAAAAATTGAACTATCGAAAAATAATTGAAAAATCTGTAAGAAATTGAAGAATTGAAAAATTGAAAACGTGAAATTGAAGAATAAAATATTAAAAAGTCCCAAAACTGAAATATGGAGAGATTGAAAAATCAAAAGATCCAGAGATTGAAACTTGAAAAAATTCATGTATAGAACTAAAAAATTTAAAAAATTAAAATATCGAAAAACTGAAGAATCAAAAAATTGAAACAAAACTGGAGACTTCGAAAAACTGACCGAAAAATTGAACTATCGAAAAATAATTGAAAAATCTGTAAGAAATTGAAGAATTGAAAAATTGAAAACGTGAAATTGATGAATCAAAAAACTGAAGAATAAAATATTAAAAAGTCCCAAAACTGAAATATGGAGAGATTGAAAAATCGAAAGATCCAGAGATTGAAACTTGAAAAAATTCTTGTATAGAACTAAAAAATTTGAAAAATTAAAATATCGAAAAACTGAAGAATAAAAAAATTGAAACAACACTGGAGACTTCGAAAAACTGAGAAATCGAAAAATTGAAAAATCGAGAAATCGAAAAGTCCAAAATAATAATAATAAAAAAAAATGAAAAATTAAAAACCCGAAAAATCCAAAAAATTGAAGTAAAAAATAAAAAAGACAAAAAGTTAAAAATTTCGAATTAAAATAAATCGATAAATACAAAAATCGAGAGATTGAACAATCAAAAAATCGAAATATCTGAATCTCGACAAACTGAAAAATTGAAATACCGAAAAATCCAAAATGCAACAATTTTAAATTGAAAAAATAAAAATTTAAAACAAAACAAGCGAAAAAAAAATTGATGAATTTTCGAATCAAAAAGGGAAAAATCGTAAAATTGAAAAAACGAAACAGCATAAAATGAAAGTTTTGAAAAATCTAAAAATTGAAAATCGAAAGAACTAAGTGTTTATTGTAAAATCTAAATACTGAAAATTAAAAAATCCGAAAATTCGGGAACTGGAAATCCAAAAGTTGCAAAATTGTAACGTTTAGAAATTGGAAAATGAGGGATTTGAAAAATCAAAATAATTTTCAGTGTTCTGATTTTATAATTTTTGGTTTTTTTAGTTTCAGTTTTTTCAGTTTTTGATTTCGTCAATTTTTCGATTTGCAATTTTTCAGTTTTTCAGTTTTTTTTATTTCTTCAATTTTACGATATGCAACTCTGTGAGTTTTCATTTTTACATTTTTCAGTTTTTAGATTTTCCAACTTCTAGATGTCATTAATTTTTTGTTTTTTCAACTTTTCGGTTTTTCAATTTTTGGATTTTTCAAATTTTAGAATTTTTTAATTTGTTGTTTTTCCAATTTTAACTTTTCAGTTTCACGATTTTTCAATTTTCCGTTTCTTCAATGTTTGATTTGCAATTTTTATAGTTTTCATTTTAAGTAAAATTTTTCAGTTTTTGGATGTTCCAATTTTTCGATTTGCAGTTTTTGGCTTTCAATTTTTAACTTTTAGATTTTTTAATTTTTTGTTTTTCCAATTTAAGATTAATTTTTCAGTTTTTCCTTTCTTCAATTTTTGGTTTTCATTTAACCATGTACAAATGATAATTTTAAAAATTTTTCAATTTCACAATTTTAGATTTTTTTTTGGATTTGAAAACTTTTTAAGTTAGTCGACATTCGAATTTTCAATTTTTCGTTTCTAACTTTTTATTTTCTTCATTTTTAGAATTTTCCGTTTCTTTAATGCTTGATTTGCAATTTTTCTAGTTTTCATTTTAAGTAAAATTTTTCAATTTTCGGATTTTCCAATTTTTCGATTTGCAATTTTTGACTTTCAATTTTTAACTTTCAGATTTTTTAATTTTTCGTTTTTCCAATTTAAAATTAGTTTTTCAGTTTTTCGTTTCTTCAATTTTTGATTTTTATTTAAACATGTACAAATGATAATAATTTTAAAAAAATTTCAATTTTACAACTTTAGAATTTTTTTTGGATTTGAAAACTTTTTAAGTTAGTCGACATTCAAATTTTCAATTAATGCATTCTTCAATTTTTCTCCAAATTTTCGATTTGCAATTTTTCGTTTCTAACTTTTTATTTTCTTCATTTTTACGATTTTTCGATTTTTCAGTTTTAGATTTTCCAACTTTTATATGTCATTAATTTTTTATTTTTTCAACTTTTCGGTTTTTCAATTTTTGAATTTTTCGATTTCCAATTTTAGATTTTTTAATTTGTTGTTTCCAATTTTAACTTTTTAGTTTTACGATTTTTCAATTTTCCGTTTCTTTAATGTTTGATTTGCAATTTTTGGCTTTCAATTTTTAACATTTAGATTTTTTAATTTTTCGTTTTTCCAATTTGAAATAAATTTTTCAGTTTTTCGTTTTTCGATTATTGGATTTGAAAATTTCTTCATTTATTCGACATTCAAATTTTCAATTTATCGTTTCTTTGATTTTTTTCTCCAAATTTTCGATTTGAAATTTTTCGTTTCCGTTTTTTATTGTCGTTGTACAACTTGGCGATTTTTCAGTGTTTCAATTTTATCAATTTTTGTTTCTTCAATTCCATTTTTTCCAATTTTTCCGTTCTTCATTTTTCAGTTTTTCAAATTTCCAAATGTTGAATTTTTCATGTTTTAAATACTGCAATTATTCTATTTCCAGTTTTTCGTTTCGGGTTTGTTTTCTTTATTTTTTCAAATATTAGATTTTTCGATGTCTCTATTTTATAATTTCTTGTTTCTTCAATTTTTAGAATTTTGCAATTTTTCGATTTAAAATTTCTCGAGTTTTCGATTTTTAATTTTTTCACCCGCCCTCTATTTTCTTAAAGGGTGTCATCTGCCAAAGTCAGTCTTATCTTACCAAGTACTAACCCCGCCCACCCACTCACGGTATTCTCATTCTAAGGACTAATTTTATTTCCGTTCAGTATGGGATCCACTTTCATTCAGACCAGATAAAATGAATCACTGAAAAGGAAACGGGGTGGGTGGGCGGGGTTAATTATACGTTCTTCTGTAGAATTAAGTGTTTATGGGATTATGGAAATCCGTAAAGAGGAGGCGGAGAAGCCTAATATTTCTCGCTGCTGGGTGTCCACAATACATATGTTATAATAAAAATTCTTGTAATTTTCCAAATTAATATAAAACTATTTAATTCAGGTCATTGATCATAATCATTTCAGTTAGTATAATAAATTAATGCTTGTTATTTTTATCCAATGGTTTTTAGTTTTAATTTTTTCAACTCATTTAGATTTGTGTGCAATAACATTGACATTTTTGGTTAAAAAATTTAATTCGTTAGACAAAAATTTTATGATTATTCAGTATAAAAATGAGAAATTTAGGTCATCAAATTGAAAAAATCTATATCGCGATTTCTTTTTAGTTAATTTTTAAAAAACACATATTGAACTGCAATTTCGAAATTGAGAATATATATCAAATACAATAACTTTAAAAAAAAAAAAAAAAACTAGTTCATATTCACTTGATTTCTTCATTTTCATTTTCCATTGGAATATTTAATCAATTTTTTATCAATCATGTTAATATTTCGAGTAGATTATTGTCACTAAGCGCACCCTCCTCGATATTTCATTAATTCTAGAGGTAATTTTAACACTAAGAAAAAAAATCAAAGAAGAGTTATACGTTTTTTTTTTTAAATAATGTTTGCAATATGCTAAAAATATCATATTCTTTCTGATTTTATAAGATTTCATTATTTTCTCTTGGAAGTGTACATTTTGCTAGCTTTGTAGTCATGTCATTTGCCAAAATCGATTTTATTTTAGCAGGTACTAGCCCCGCCCACCCACCCTCTCTTTTCTTACAAGGTATGTCATCTGCCAAAATCAGTTTTATCTTAGCAAGCACTAATAACCAACTTTTACAAAAAAATGGATTTTTCTCTTGTTGTTTTTGTTCATAATTTAAAAATATGTTATTCAAATGTTTGTTTTATTAATAATAACGCACAACGATTAATCAGTTTGAATCCTAAGAAAAAAGTCAAAGACTGGAGTTGTTTTTTTTTTAATACATACTTTCATTATTCTCTCTTGTTAGCTTTGACACGTTTGAAAACCAAACTTTAGATGGTGCTAGTTACTCAACGAATTTTTAGGTTAGCAGAACCGATTTCAACAATAAAATTTGGCCACGATATTGCGTACTGTCAAATTATTACTAATATACTTACGAGAATATATACTTTCGAGTTTTGCCGGCGCCTTCGCTTCCATTAATAGTTTTTTGTTCGGATCGTTGTCTTGTATCAGGTTAATCAGCAACATTAGAACCTGAAAAATTGGTCGATTATTAATGTTACATTGCGATTAATATTTCTGCTGCATTAGATGGACATAATACAATTTTAAACATACAGATGAGATTCCGTTTAATAAAGAAGTACCGGAATTTTAGAATGCCCCCATTTCGTAACGGAAATGATACGCCACTGGTCATTTAGTGACATTTCGATTCATCTCGTTGTATTTCTAGTCTACACGTTGTTAAAATGGCGCTCCACGATCACAAGAAATGTCGTTTCAAGACTTTATCACTGAATCGTTTTCGTAGTGAAGCAAGTTTTCCGTTCTCGTAAATTAAAAAAGGTATTTCTAAGCGGGAAATTTGAAAATCCCGCGCATGTCTACCTACCAACCGACAGACAAAAATTCCCTAGACTTAAAAAAATGGCTGCTCATGTTTGAATAAACGAAGAAACATACCAGCACTCCTAATTCAAACTTCTTCTGCTCGGGGATATAGTGGGGTACTTGAAGAAGCAGGTGCAAACTCGTCTCAATAATCCCCGGTCTGGAGCCAATGAGCGAGCTTCCCATAGCTAAAACCAACCGACTCTCAGTACTCGAAAAACCCAGAACCCATCAACTTACATTGCCTACTGAAATGATGAGTTAAATTTATTAATACTTTTAAAGTAACAAGCAGCGCCTCCCTAATAATAGTCCCCGTCGACTCCTTGTCCGTAATGTCAGTCACTGGATACAGAGGTATTTCGCCATCACACAATTTGTACAAATTAACAAGTGTATCTAAAATCACTCCATCATTATATTTTAACAGGTACGTTTGATTCTCTTCATTGTTATGCGTCACCTAAAACCCCAAATTACACCTCTATCGACACCCCCACCCTCACTCACGTTCTCCAAAACCCGCAGACACCTGTCGACCTTGCGCAGTTTATCCAACAAGACGTCCGTCCACGACACCACGTAATCCGAAACTTGCCTACAAAACCAGTTGAATCAAAACCACAAAAAACTCAGTTTGTTTTTCTTTGTAACCCACCTACAGCACTCGCATATCGTCTTCATGATGTGCTCCAGCCCGCCCAGCTCCCGCAGCTCCTCCTTGAACCACTCCCCGGCCCGCTTCGACGTCAAGCTCAGCAGCGTCTCCATCGCGAGCTGGCCCACGGTGATGTTGTCGAGATTCAGGTGCATGGCGTGACCTTGGCTCTGGATTTCGGCGCACAGCTCCCTCACCTTTTGCTTGTTCTTCTCGAGTTGCGCCGAGCTCAGCCCGCACTCGTCGAGCGCCTGCTGGTAAGTCACGTCCGATTCGAGGAGGTTCAGCATCAGCTCGAGGCAATCGCGGTCTAGGTCCATGTTGAGGCGGTCCTGGCTCAGGACGAACATCACCGTCGCCGTGCACAAGCCCAGGCTCTGGTCTTTGGTAGCGTCATGTAGTGCCTTGAAGAACTTAGCGACGGTCCCGTGGGCGCGCACGTGCATCCGGAAAGCGGGAACCATGCACTTGGAGGCTAGAGTGATCGCCGACAGACACCGCGTGCTGATCGGGTTGTTGTCCTGCAACGCGTCTAGGATGTACTCCACGTCGTCGTTGAACTCTTGAAACTCCCCGATTTCCTGAATCTGGTGCGCCTTCTTGACATTTCTAACAACCGTATAATACTAAAACAGCGGTTTTTGCGTTTTTTTTAATAAAAAACTCGACCCACTTACCCCTTTGTCGCTCTTCGTGCATTTTATGCTCGTCACGCTCTCCTCCTCGTCGTCGGCGCCCGCCACCGTCACCCTGGTCAGAGGGTCGTCGTTAAACCCGAATTCGTCGTACACCGAACTATTCGTATTATTGCTTCCTGAATTGTCGTTAGTCTTTTGATTTCCATCTTTATCGTCACTCCACTTGTGTTTATATAACGCGCGTCTTTTTTTCGTCACGTCGGTTACTAAAGGTCTACTTTTAAAAATACTCCCTTTTTTCTTGGATATTACGAGTTTCACTGGAGGCGTCGCTTCCTCTTGTTTGTCTTCGGTTGATTCGTCCTTGTGGTCGTCGGTGAGGGGCTGCGAGGGCTCGTTCTCGTCGATGGAGTTCTTCGGCTCGCCGGAGGTGCTGTTGCTGTCCGAGTCGGTGTCCCACTCCTCCTCTATGGAGCCTTTGGTCACCGGGTCGTCTTGTCTTGCTAGTGCCACGATCGCCTCTTCCGTGGCTTCTTTAATCATGATTTCTTCTTCTTGCCGCGTTTCTTCTTCTTCTTCTTGATCTATGCTCGGCTGGCTTTTGTCTTCGCTGTCTTCGCTCTTGTTATAATTATAGCAACAATTATTATACATAAATAGTCAACAACTATAGAATATTAGAATACAACTACGACATTTGATTGTAATTAAAAATTCCAACAGCTCTCAAAGTACAAAAAATATCTATTTGTCGATGATAATACATAATAACAATTCTACCCACGATACATAAAGAAGAATGACAGACAGGCAGATAGACGGACAGACAGACGGAAACGGGAGACTTTTTTCTTCGTACTCTAGGGGTCATGAAAGGTCGAGAAAACGTAAAAGTAGAGGGTCGGCCGACGGACTCGATTACAATACTTCCTTCGCTTACGCTAGGGAAGTAAAAAGAGCGACAAAAGAAACATGTAAAAAAAGACGAAAAAAAGTAAAAAAAAACCGCCGATAAAAGGGATGAACAAATCGCAACCAAAGAAAATGGAAAAAAGGCGAAACACAAAATGATCAGAAAAACGTAAAAGAAACATAAAAAAGCCTCAAAAAAAGGCAACCGAAGAAAATTAAAATGAATTGGAATAAATACAAGAAAAGACAAAAAACACAAAAAAATCCAACAACAAAAAAAAGGTCAAAACAAACGATTCCGACAATTAAAACACGACAATCAAGAAAAAAGACAATAAAATGTGAAAAAATTAAAAGAAGCACAAAGAAGCATTAAAAAATAACAATAAAAAAGAGATCAAAAACAGGTAATTAAAAAATTCAATAACGCGACAAAAAAACTTAAAACTTGGTCAAAAATAACATGCGACAAAAAAGGCAACAAAAAGGACAAAATCACAACAAAAGAAAATAAAAAAGAATTGGCAAAAACTACCAAAAAAATTAGAAGAAAAAAATGGAAACAGACAACTCCAACAAAAAAATACGACAATCGAGAAAAACACAATAAAATGTGAAAATATTCCAAGGAACACAAAAAAGTGGCCAAAAAAAAAAAGATAAAAAATGAGATTAAAAACAGGTGATCCAAAAAATCCAATAACACCACAAAAACTAAAAAAAAAAAGATTATTAATGGGCGAAATAAGGCAAAAGAGGGAAAAGAGAGGTCACGAAAAAGGCTTAGGGAAACAAAAAACTATAATGGGACAAAAAAAAAATCATAAAAACAACAAAAGAAATATGTAAAAAAAAACAAAAATCACAACCAAAGAAAATGAAAAAGAATTGGCAAAAAACGCTAGAAAAAACAACAAAAAAGAGACAATGAAATGTGAAAAAATTAAAAGAAACAAAAAAAAAAGAGATTAAAAACGGCGAAACACAAAGGGACCAAAAAAACATAGAAGAATCGCAAAAAAGGCAAAAAAGGTGATTTAAGAAAGACGACAAAAAATTCTACAAAAAAAAAAGAGAAAAAAGCAGCAAATAATCTTAAAAAAAAAAAACGACAAAAAACTACGAGAAGAAAAGCAAAAATAACCTGCGCTAAAAAAGCAACAAAAAAGGTTCCCCAAAAAATCGCAACCAAAGAAAATAAAAAAGAATCGGCAAAAAATGCAAAGAAACGTCAAAAAACATTACACAATAACTTCTCTAAAGTAAAAACCAGTGGCTTAAATAACACTCTAGCAGTTTTTTGACTCGAATTTTTCAGTTTCAATTTTTTCATTCACGATTTTTCAATTTTTCGTTTTGTTTCCTCAGTTTTAAAATTTTGCAATTTCAGTTTTTTAATTTTTAAGTTCTTCAATTTTTCGATTTGAAATCTTCCAATTTTTGATTTTTTTGTTCGTTCAATTCTACGACATGCAACTCTTGAGTTTTCAATTTCTAATTTTTCGATTTTTCATTTCTTCAATTTTTCGTTTCGGTTTATTTTATTTATTTTTTCAATTTTCCGTTTCTTCAATTTTTGATTTGCGATTTTTTTAGTTTTAATTTTAAAAATGTTAAAATAATTATGTACAATAAATTTCACTTTTTCAATTCTCAAAAACAACAAAAAAAAACGGGCAAAAAACTACCAAAAAAATTTCGACAAAAAACGTGGAAACAAACAATTTCGACAAAAAAAACACGATAATCGAGAAAAAGACAATGAAATGTGAAACAATTAAAAGAAACACAAAAACATATTAAAAAAAAAAAAAAAAGACAACAAAAAAAGGAGATTAAAAAAAAAGCGTAACAAAAAGGGACCAAAAAAAAAACAAAAAAGAAACGCAAAAAAAAAAGTCAAAAAAAAGGCAAAAAATGTAGGTAAAAAAAAGGTGATTTAAGAAAGACGATAAAAATTTTTACAAAAAAGCGACAAAAATCTAAAAAAAAAAAGACAAAAAAACGTGGATTAAAAATTAGCAAAAAACGCAAAAAAAAAAACTAGAAAAACCAAATAAAAAACTAGCAAAAAATTCCAGAAAAGCATGGAAACAATTCCGACAAAAAAAAACAGGTGATTAAAAAATTCAATAACGCGACAAAAAACTTAAAAAAAAAACGATCATAAATGGACGAAAAAAAGCAAAAGAGGGAAAAAGAGGTCACAAAAAGGCTAATAACAAAATAGGGGAATAAAAAAACTACAAGAGGAGATAAAAAAATCATAAAAACATAAACAAAAGAAATATGAAAAAACACGCCAAAAAAACCGGCTATAAAAAGAAACGACAAAGAAAATGGCAAAAAACGCGACAAAAAAGGCCATAAAAAGTACAACAACAAAAAACGGGATAAAACAGCGTCAAAAAAAAAACGCCATTGAAAATAGGAAACAAGAAATAATAAAAAAGAGGAGACAACAAAATATGAAAAAAAGGCGAAACATAAAGGGACCAGAAAAATATAAAAGAAACGCAAAAAAAAGCATCAAAAAAGGCAAAACATGTAAGCAAAAAAAAAAAAACAAAAAAAAACCCGGCAAAAATCTAAAAAACGACGACAAAAACCGTGAGAAAAAAAAAAGCAAAAATAACATGCAACAAAAAAAAGCAACAAAATGGGGAACAAAAATTGCAATCAAAGAAAATAAAAAAGAATTGGCAAAAAAACCCAAAAAAAAAGGACAAAAACCAGGCAAATCTACAAAAAAAAAACACAAATGAATCAAAAAATTCAATAAGGCAATAATGGACGAAGAAAGGAAAAAAGAGGTAACAAAACGGCTATAAATAGGGGAACAAAAAACCTACAAGAGGGATAAAAAATTGTAAAAACAGAAACAAAAGAAATATGAAAAAAAAGACGGCAAAAAAAAAAACGAAAATAAGGTGATAAAAAGGGATTAAAAAAATTGCCATCAAAGAAACTAAAAACCAATTCCAAGGTGAGGCAAAAAAGGCCGAGAAAACAAAAACGTGACAAAAAAGGGTGAAGAATGATAAAAGGAAAGAAATTTAAAGAAAAAGCGACAAAAAATTAGCGAAAAACAAGGCGATGAAAAGGGGATCAAAGAAATCACAAAAAAAAGGCGACAAAAAAATGGCACGAAAAAACAAGAAAAAAATGAGACAACGAATTGTGAGAAAAAGGCGAAAATGCTACAAAAAAATAGAAAAGCCGGGAGAGAAACAAAGAGTACAAAAAGGGGGACAAAAATAACATGCGACAAAAAAGGCAACAAAAAGGACAAAATCACAACCAAAGAAAATAAAAAAGAATTGGCAAAAACTACCAAAAAAATTCCAAGAAAAAAATGGAAACAAACAATTCCGACAAAAAAAATACGACAATCGAGAAAAAGACAATAAAATGTGAAAATATTCAAAGGAACACAAAAAAGTGGCAAAAAAGTGGAAAATAAAAAATGAGATTAAAAAACAGGTGATCCAAAAAATTTAATAAGTCCACAAAAACTAAAAAGAAAGATTATTAATGGGCGAAATAAGGCAAAAGAGGGAAAAGAGAGAGGCGATGAAAAGGGGATAAAAGAAACCACAAAAAAGGCGACAAAAAATGGCACGAAAAAACCAGAAAAAAAAGGAGACAACGAATTGTGAGAAAAAGGCGAAACAGACCGTTTTTTATTTTTTCGGTTACTCAATTTTTCAAAATTTCAGTTATTGATTTGTCACAATTCTCCGATTTTTCATTTTTTTAAATTTTCAATTTAGTAATTTTCGGATTTCCAAGTTTTCATTTTATATTTTTTCGTTTTTGATTTTTCAATTTTACAATTTTTCCATTTCGAAATCGAAGAAATGAAAAACTGAAACACTGAAAAACTAAAAAAAAAATAATGAACCGAAAAATTGAAAACAAGGAAAAACGCATCGAATTGAAAAATTGGAAAACTACAAAAAAATCAAAAACTGACGAAACGACAAACTGAAAAATCGAGGAACTGAAAAAACGAAAAATTAAAATAGCCAAAGTTTTAAAAAGCGAAAAACTGAAAACTTGAAAAAAGAAAGAAAATAAAAAACCTAGAAAAATTGCAAAAACTAAAAGTTGGAAAACTCTTTGTTAAATTCAAGAAACAAAAAAATATATGAAAAATTGGATATTGTAAATAAAAAAATTGAATAAACGAACACGTAATAGGAATACAAAAAGTGTGAAAAAAGGACAATGAAAAAAGATGATTAAAAAAGAGAACAAAAGACGATACAGAAACTTTAAAAAAAGAACGAAAAACCAGCCCCCAAGAAAATGTGACAAATGCGACCCCAAAAAAATAAACCGGGACATAAAAAAAAGTAAAAAAGAGGACAACAAAAAGTGAAAAAAAGCTAATTGAAAAGAGACCAAAACAAGGTATAAAAGTAACCCAAAAAGCTTCAAAAAAGGCAATAAAATCATCCTTCTTTTTATTTTATTTTCTTTTCTTATCTTTTCAAACTACGAAAATATAGTGCATTTTACGGCCGTTTCAAATGCAGTTAAAATCAAAATAAATTGAATACTGTATAGAATAAAATATTTCCAACAAAATAAAACGATAATTTTCGCTATTTCCGCCTGTTTATATCGTCTTTCGTTTGAGTCCATTTTATTAGACAGCCAATCCTTGAATTTTATTTGTATTTTAGGAATATCGTGTAGATGCTAAAACGATAACCAAAATTTGTCTGATTCTCGCTACCAACATTTTAATGACGTAACCTAAAAATTTTGCATTGTCAATGTTATTTAAATTTAAAAATAACAATTCTATATTTGTGGTTTATGAATCAGCCTTGATTTATTAATTTATAGTTATCATGGGAAAAAAAACAGGGACCTACTGTCTACTACTTTAATTAAATAATAATTAATTAAAAATATTCCAGTAAACTTTGTAAACATAAAAAAAACACTACTACTATTTAGTATTTATCAACATAAATAAAAATAAATTATCTTTATTGCCCAAAATTAACATAAACACTATTAAAACGTGGCACAGTGTCGAATACTTGTGAACCCATGTTAAAATACATGGAAAGTGAAAATTAAAACAACACAACAAAATATAAAGCATTATCAAAACCTGAACAAACGTAAATGAAGCTCCTAATTTTAAAATATTCTTGCTACCTTTAGTGACAAAAAACACTGGTTTTTTAATTAAATTTTTGTCAAATCCTACTCAAATTTTCGGAAAAAAAAAGATGAGCCGTTTTTGATTTGACAATAAAAAAGGATTCGGCAATAAAAATAATAATTAAAAAGTTCAGGTGGATTCATAAACCACAAGTATAGGAATAAGGTATTTTATAACATTAAACAGCATTTACTTAAGTAAAATTTTGAGGTGGCGTCAATGGAATGTTTAGCTTATGTTTAGCTGTGTTTTTTTTAATATATGCAATCGTCTTTTCATAGTAGGAAACTTAAAACTTGTTCAAAATGGCAAATTTTTGTAGAGAATTTTGCGATTAAGCTCCGCCCCTCCGTCTGACAGCGAATGAAAAATTCATCACAAATGAGATCGGGGCGGCATTTTATGTTTTAAGTATTCTATTGTTGAAAGAAAAGCGTATTAAGAAAAAACGCAAATATTTTGGATTCTCGATTTTTCAATTTCTGCATTTTTCAAATTTTCAATTTCCCGATTTTACGACATTTCGATTTTTAATTTCGCTTTTTCGACTTTCCGATACTTCGATTTTTTGATTTCTCTACTTCCATTTTTCAATTTCTCGATTTTGAATTTTTCGACCTTCCGATTTTAGGTGTTTTCGATTTTGCAATTTTTAAATATTTTAACTTCTCGATTGATGACTTCTCGATATCTCGATTTATGATATATCGAATTTTCGATTTTTGGCTTATTCGATTTTTCGACTTGGATTGTTCAATTCCTGGATTTTTCGACTTTCCAATATTTGGGTTGTTCGACTTTTCGATCGGAAATATGGATTTTGCAATTAAGCTCCGCCCTGCGGCTCACGACCAATAAAAAAAAATCATCACAAGTGAAATCGGGTGGGTGGGTGGGGCTTATATTTAGCTTTGCTTGTTTTTTTTTTAATATATGTAATTCTTTTTCCATAACGGGAAACTTAAAACACGTTCAATGGTAAATTTCTGTAGAGAAATATGGAATTTGCAATTAAGCTCCGCCCCTCCGTCTGACAGCGAATGAAAAATTCATCACGATTGAGATCGGGTGGGTGGGTGGGGCTTATCTTTTTATACAGTTTTCTCTCAACAATAGAATATTTGAAATATCAAATGGTGAATCTGAGGTTAGAATTGTGTCCAACATTTTGTAAAAAAACAAAGTGTCGAATATAATTCTAACCTCAAATTCATCATTTTATGTTTTAAGTATTCTATTGTTGAAAGAAAACCGTATTAAGTAAAAAGGCAAAGATTTTGGATTTTTCGATTTTTCAATTTCTCCATTTTTCAAATTTTCAATTTCCCGACTTTACGACATTTCGATTTCTCGACTTGCATTTTTCAATTTCTCGATTTTGAATTTTTCGACCTTCCAATTTTAGGTGTCTTCGATTTTGCAATTTTTAAATATTTTAACTTCTCGATTGATGACTTATCGATATCTCGATTTATGATATATCGAGTTTTCGATTTTTGGCTTTTTCGATTTTTCGACTTTCCAATATTTGGGTTGTTCGACTTTTCGCTCGGAAACATGGATTTTGCAATTAAGCTCCGCCCTTCGGCTCACGACCAATAAAAAAAATCATCACAAGTGAAATAGAGTGGGTGGGTGGGGCTTATATTTAGCCTTATTTTTTTATTAAATAGATGTAATCCTTTTTTCATAACGGGAAACTTAAAACACGTTCAAAATGGTAAATTTCTGTAGAGAAATATGGAATTTGCAATTAAGCTCCTCCCCTCCGTCTGACAGCGAATGAAAAATTCATCACAATTGAGATCGGGCGGGTGGGTGGGGCTTAATCTTTTTACACAGTTTTCTCTCAACAATAGAATATTTGAAATATCAAATGGTGAATCTTAGGTTAGAATTGTGTCCAACATTTTGTAAAAAAACAAAGTGTTTATGCAGGGTTCAAATTTAGGTCCACTTACGTTTTTAATATTTATTAACGATATAGTAATTGTATATTCGTTGAAAGTTATCCATGAAGACTGTTTAATTTTGCAACAGGATATTAATTCGATACATTAAAGGTGTAATAATTAATAATAATCAGTTGCACATACATCAACAAGAAAAATGTGATGTCAAGTTACATAATGAATTATAAATTTTGCAGTTATCTTTATTACTACTATTACTAAAAAGTTTACGCAATACAAAAATACTTACCGACTCCTTCTTGTAGAATTCCACTGGGTCTTCCTTCAATTCGTCCCTCTTCAAGAGGATATCCTCCACCAGGTCAATCCCGTGCCCCGCCGCCTCCTCCCCCTGCTCCGCCATCGTCGGCGAGTTCGGCCTCAGCAAATTATCGTACATGGCCTTCCTCTCCAGCTCGTACTTCTCCGCCGGGATGTACTGCGGCGACAGGTCCATGTCCTGCTTGGGCGACGTGAACAGCGAGAACTCCCCCGGGGTGTCGGCGGTGGCGGGGCTGCTGCTCGGGTCCTGCTGCATGCTGCGGCGCGCCGACCGCGTGATCCGGCAGTTCGGCGACCGCTGCGCCGTGTCCTTGAGCGCCCGCGGCGACGTCGCGTTCGACGTCGACGGCGTGCTGGAGGGCGTCGGCGTGCTCTCGGACTCGTCCGAGTCGTTCACCAGCTGAGATTTCCCTCTACATATCCTTAAAACTATTGGAGGTTTCGTTTCGTTTCGCTTAGAGTTATTTACATTTGAACTTAGTACAGTCTTTTCGGGCGAGTTCTTCGACGAGAAGAATTTCCGAGGCACGGTCTTTGTGCTCCTGTCGGCGGGGTCGTCGACGACCTTGAGTTTCTTCGTCACGCTGCCGTAAGTCATGTCGGCGGAAGTCTTGTAGGAGGAGGGGAGGTCGGGCGGGTCGGTGTTGCGGCTCTTGAAGAACTTCTTGGGCTTGGGGGCGGAGTCGCCCTCGGAGGAGGCGAGCTTGTCGTTTTCTGGACAGAACAAATACTTATTATTATTATTGTTATCATGAATCCAAAATGTTCTGATATTATGAATCAGTTTTTGAGAAAATATACAAAAGCTCTGATAAGTCTATAAGTTTACCGAACAGATGGAGTGATATATATCAAGAGTGAATGTACGAATAAAGAAATGGTTGTTTCGACAGAATTTCCCCCCTTTTTCCCTCTTTTTTTCTGATAACCTCTATAACTTTTCATTTGTTCGATTTTTCAATTTTTTGCTTTAAAATTTCTCGAGTTTTCAATTTTTAATTTTTTCAAATTTTCGATTTGCAATTTTTCGTTTCAGTTTTTTATTTTCTTTATTTTCAAAATTTTTCTAATTTTTTGATTTTCAAATTTAAATTTTTTTATTTTTCGTTTCTTCTAATTCTCGATTTGAAATTTTTCAATTTTTCATTTTTTTTCCTTGAAATTTACGACATGCAACTCTTCAAGTTTTTCAGCTTTTCGATTTTACAACTATTGGACGTTTCAATTTTTCAATTTTCAAATTTAGATTTTTCAATTTTCCGTTTCTTCAATTTTTGATTTGCAATTTTTCTAGTTTTTTGAATTTTAAATAAGTCAAAATAACTATTTTTAAAAAATGTTCACTTTTTCAATTTTACAGTTTTAGAATTTTACCATTTCTCAATTATTCGATTTTTCAATCTTTAGATTTTATATTTTTTGTTTATTCAATTTTGATTTAACAATTTTTCCGTTTCTTCAATTTTTTCATCTGCGATTTTTCAATTTTTCATTTCTTCAATTTTCGATTTGCCATCCCGTTTCAAGTTTTTATTTTCACAAATTTTCGAGTTTTCTATATCACGACTTAATAATTTTTTGAGTTTTTAATTCTAATTTTTGTTTTGCAATTTTCAATTTTTTTTGTTTTTGTTTTGCAATTTTCAATTTTTTTTGTTTTTGTTTTTTTAATTTGATGATAATGAAACTACGAATTTTCATTTTTAATTTTTTCAGTTTTTCGTTTGTCCAAGTTTTGTTTTAGATTTTGAAAGTTTTTGATTTGCAATTTCACGAGTTTTTAATTTTTAATTTTTCAATTTTTGATTTCTTCAATGTTTCGGTCTTTCACAATTCAAATTTTATTATTTTATTTTTCAATATGAAATTTTTCGATTTTTTTATTTTTCGTTTTTCAAATTTTAGATTTACAAATTTTCTAGTTTTAATTTTAAATGTGTAAAAATAATTACTTTAAAAAATATTGAGTTTTTCGATTTTACGGTTTTAAAATTTTACCATTTTTCAATTATACGATTTTACAATTTTTTGTTTTTTCAATTTCTCCATTTGCGAATGATCAATTTTTCACTTTTTTTTCTTTAATTTTTCATTTCTTCAAATTTTCGATTTGCAATTTCTGTTTATATTTTGAATTTTCTTTATTTTTACAATTTTCGAGTTTTTTATGTTCCGATTTTACAATTTTTCCGTATTTCAATTTTTTTATTTGCAATTTTTCAATTTTTCATGTTATTGTTTCTTTAATTTTACGGATATGAAACCCTTAGAATTTTCATTATTAAATTTTTCAGTTTTTCGAATTTACAACTTTTGTTTTAGATTTTGCAAATTTTTTGATTTGCAATTTCACAAGTTTTTAATTTTTAGTTTTTCGATTTTTTATTTGCTTCACTTTTTCGATTTGCAATTATCGTTTAGGCTTTTCTTCTTTATTTTTTCAATTTTAAATTTGTTTCATTTGCCGTTTCTTCAATTTTTCGATTCTTTAAATTTTCGATCTGCAATTTGTCGATTTCAATTTTTCAATTTTTTTTTTTGGTTCTTCAATTATTATACGACATGGAACCCTTCGAGTTTCCATTTTTTAAAATTTCAATTTTTCCATTTTTGAAATTTTCATTTCTTCAATTTTTCGATTTGCACAAGTTTTTGTTTGGGTTTATTTGATTTAGGTATATTTCAACTTTTCGGTTTCTCGATTTTTTAATTTTCTGTTTCTTCCATATTTTGATTTGCAATTTTTCTAGTTTTAATTTTAAATGCGGAAAAATAATTATTAAAAAAATCACTTTTTCAATTTTACGGTTTTAGAATTTCACCATTTTTCAATTTATAATTTTTTGTTTTTTCAATTTCTCCATTTGGGATTTTTCAATTTTTCGATTCTTTAATTTTTCATTTTTTAAATTTTCAAGTTTTCTATGTTCTGATTTTACAATTTTTTGTTTTTTCAATTCCAATTTTTTGTTTTGCAATTTTTCAATTTTCTTTTTTTTGGTTTCTTCAATTTTATTATATGAAACTCTTCGAATTTTCATTTTTAAATTTTCCAGTTTTTTGTTTTTCCTTTTGCAATTTCATCAGTTTATAATTATTAATTTATCAATTTTTGATTTCTCCAATTTTTCGTTTGAGGTTATTTTCTTTATTTTTTCAATTTTTCAGTTTTTCAATAGTCTAATTTTATGTTTTTTTTTTCAATGTGAAATTTTTCTATTTTTTAAGTTTGCAATTTTTAATTTTTTGTTTTTTCAATTTTCCGGTCTTGGATTTTTATCATTTTTAATTATTCCATTTTTCAATGTTTAGATTTTATAATTTTTTTTTTCAACTTTGATTTTTTCAATGTTTCGTTTCTTTAATTTTTCCATTTGCAATTTTTCATTTTCTTTATTTTTTCAATTTTTCGAATTTCCGTGTTCTGATTTTATAATTTTTTGTTTTTTCAATTCCAATTTTTTTATTTACAATTTTTCAATCTTCCATTTTTTCTTTCTTCTTCAATTTTATAATAATAATAATAATATTTCTTAGAATTAATTTTACAGTTTTAATTTGACTTATTTTATAGAATTTAATTTAGTGATGATCAATTCTGATTAATTAAAACTTTTCTAATTTTCAGTTTTTCGATTTTCCGACTTTTGTTTTAGATTTTGCAATTTTTTTGATTTACAATTTCACAGGTTTTTAATTTTTAGTTTTACAATTTTTGATGTTTTTAATTGTTCCATTTACAATTTTTCGTTTCGGGCTTTTTTTTTAATTTTTTCAATTTTTCGGTTTTTCAATGTGCTAATTTTATAATTTTTCTTCAATGGGAAATTTTTCGATTTTTCAATTTTACGGTTTTAGAATTTTACCATTTTTCAATTATTCGATTTTATAATTTTTGTTTCATCAAATTTTTGATTTGCAATTTCTCGTTCCAATTTTTTATATTGTTAATTTTTACAATTTTTTTCGAGTTTTCTATGTATGATTTTATCATTTTTTGTTTTTTTAAATGCAAATTTTTGATTTCTAATTTTTCGATTCTTCATTTTTTTGGTTTCTTTAATTTTACGGTATGAAACGCATTTTTTAATTTTCCAGTTTTTCGAATTTCCAACTTTTGTTATCGATTTTGCAATTTTTTTGATTTGCAATTTCACGAGTTTTCAATTTTTGATTTTTCGGTTTTTCGATTTTTCAATTTTTCGTTTCCTCAATTTTTGATTTGCAATTTTTCTAGTTTTGATTTTAAATACGTAAAAATAATTATTAAAAAAATCACTTTTTCAATGTTTCCAGTTTATAATTTTTCGTTTCGTTGTTTCTTTAATTTTTCATTTCTTCAAATTTACGATTTGCAATTTCTCGTTTCGATTTTTCATTTTTCTTATTGCAATTTTTCGAGTTTTCTTTGTTCTGATTTTATAATTTGTTGTTTTTTCCATTCCAATTTTTTGATTTGTTATTTTTAAATTTTCTATTTTTTTTGTTTCTTCAATTTTATGATATGAAACTCTTCGGATTTTCATTTTACAATTTTCCAGTTTTTCGTTTTTGCAACTTTTGTTTTAGATTTTGCAATTTTTTGATTTGCAATTTCAAGTTTTTTCATTTTTCAATTTTTCGATTTTTGAATTTTATATTTTTTAATTTTTCGTTTTTCCAATTTTAGATTTTTCAGTTTTTCCATTTTTCAATTTTTCGATTCTTCATTTTTTTGGTTTCTTTAATTTTACGGTATGAAAGTCATAGAATTTTCATTTTTTAATTTTCCAGTTTTTCGAAAAAAATGGAAAAATGGTAAAATTGTAATAATAATAATATAATAGTATAAAAATGTAATATCGAAAAAGGAAAAATGAAAAATGAAAAATTTTGAAACCGAAACATTGAAAAATGGTAAAGTTGAAAGAATACATAGAAATGAAAAAACGAAAAACTGATATAGGTAAAATCGAAAAAATGAAAATAAAATAAATCGAAAACTGGAAGTCGAGAAATTGACAAAATTAAAGTTGAAAAAACAAAAAATTATAAACCGAAAGTGGAAAATTGCAAAATTAAAGGAAATGAAAAATAACAATTGTGATATAAAATCGAGAAAATGAGAATTTAAAAATCGGGAAAATAAAAAATAAAAGTTAAGAACGAAAAACTGAGAAACTGAAAAATCGGAAAATGAAAAACTGTAATATCGAAAATGGGAAAAAAATTAAAGTTAAAAAAACAAAAATTATGAAACCGAAACACTAAAAATGGAAAAATGAAAAATAGTAAAATCGAAGATAAATAAATCCAGATTTTTAGAAAAATTATAACATTTGGTTCTGCGAATTTTATTTTTTTATGATAACCTTTAATAAACTGCCTCATCCATTTTTTTGAGTCAGCCTGTATAAGTACATAATTCTAAAAACTATAAGTGCATTGATACACAACAAGAATATGGACATAATATTTTGCGTATTTCAGAGAGAATTTATTCAGCAAAATTTTGACATGACGTCATCAATTTTTTGGAAGGGGATAAACGAATAAATTTTGATTAATGATTTACCATGATTACGACCTTAAAACGTTTGGAAGATTTTAGAGCAATCAATTTTACACTTTCATTACAAAATATTGTTATACAACTTTGATAAAAAATGATCTTTACTAAGCAATTTTTAGAGATAACGTCATCCTATTGTTGGTGGAAATGCTTATGCAAATTTTGGTTAGCGTTTTACCATCTACATGATATTCCTAATACATATATATATAACATTTGACGACAATCAGTCCAGTATATAGTTTTGGAGATTATCTAATAAAAATTCGGACAGACGGCTGACGTACAGACAGACAGACAGACAGAAACGGGAGACCTATTTTTTCGTACTTGAGGAGTCATGAAACGTCGAGAAAACAAAAGTAGTCGTCCAATACCAATGCACTCTTATTACAATACTTTCTTAGCTTACCCTTACTTAATTAGTGGTGAGGTTAAACATGTCCCAGCCACCTTGACGTTTCAAAGTCGCACTTACCATTGACGGTGCGGATTGAGGTGAAAGAGGTTATGCCCCACTTCCCAACAGTGGCAGCCGATCTGGCTGCCGAAGGCTTGTTCGCATTTTCCTTGAACAGGTTGTCGAAGTGAAAACTCGCGTGTGAACTTCCTCCCCGCCGGTACTTGCCATATCCCCTTGACATCTTTAGAACTTAACTAAAATGTATATATCACTTAAACCTTTCATAACATTCTGGCAAAATTTCAGTATCGAAAGAAAAGCACGCAATGCAGCTGCGTCCCATTGGGCTTATCAAGCACTGCTATCCACTCCCATCACGTTATCTGGCCGACTGCTCAACGCATTTCGTGGTATTTTGTTAAAATTGGTTCACTTCGCCATTTTCGTCCACTGATGTACGGCCATATATTTTTGTTAAATGGATCGTATCGATGGGGTTTCGCCTTCGCAGTCGACCACGAGCTTCACATTATTTGAGTCCTGCATTCCACGGCTTCTTTCGAACCGACGAATATTGTATTTTTGCTTGTCAAATGAATTTTCACGTTATAAACACGCTAGTAAATAACGGCTACGAGAATCTACGTTGGGTTGCAAGGGTAAAGGTTGCAATGACGCTCAAATGTCAAACGGCTGGCGGATGTCATTTGAACGTCATGCAACGTTGCAGTGGGTTGGTATGTGGTGGAAACGGGCGCAGGATTACAAGATGGCGGGGAAAGAAAGAAAGTTACTAGGTTGTGATTTGGCGATCAGAGGCACTCAACCGTGAGTTTTTGAAAGAATCTTGACATCCCTTGCAGTTCGTTTTATGTTTTTGAAAGAATTCGAAAGAATCTTAAATAATAGACTTTATTAACGCACTTGGCCATTTACATAAATACAAAAACATTCATTACATAAAACATAAATATTTCAGCAATATGGTATTGTCTGATAGTCCCCACCAACAGCTTGGTGACGTCATCTTGAAGTTTTGCTGGATAAATCCTTTCTAAAATACACAAAGTTTATGAGTCTTTTGTAGTTTCCCTTTTTCTGTCGCTTTTATTTAATAATAATAATGTTTATTAGTGCCTTAATTACAACATGTAACCATTGTTTGTGCACATGTCAATTCACAAACTATAACAATATTTACATATTTAAATTAAATTTAAAATATCTTTGTCACTACAAAATTCTTCAATGTTGTAAAAAGCTTTGCATGTCAAGTAATGTTTTATTTTCTTTTTAAAATGTGTAAATGTCGAATTTTGTATTTCAATGGTAACAGAATTTCATGGGTAACAGATTAAAAAACCTTATTCCAAAATATTCGGTACCTGTTCGAGATTTTGTTATTCTTAAATTTTTCAGACACAAATCGATGTTTGTTGTTTGTCCGCTTTTTCATCACGTTTCGTTATAGTTTTTTTGCTCCTTTTTTCGCGTTTTGTTGTCTTCTTTTTTCTATTGCATTTTATTTTTGTCAATTTTTTTTGTTGCATCTTCATATAATCTTTCTTTTTTTTGACTCTTTCTTTTGTCGCATTTTTTCTCACTTGTTTATTTTTTTTTTTAATCCATTTTGTATCGCTTTTTGGCGTCTCTTTTATCTTATTTTGTCAATTTTTTTCGCCCCTTCGTCTTCTTTTCTTAATCGCTTTTTTTTTGTCGCCTTTTTTTTAATCACTTTTTTCTTTTCATATTTTTTTTGTATTTTTTGTTTCCGCTCTCTGATGCCATTTTTCGTCATCTTTTTTGTGGTCCTTTTTGTTATCTTTTTGACATTTTTCTTGTAAATTTTTTGTTGTTTTTTTCTCTTCTTCTTTAACCGCCTTTTTTGTCTTCCTTTTTATAACCTTTTTGTAGCCTTTTTTCTGTCTTCTCTTGTCGGTTTTCTTGTCGTTTATTTTCGTGGTTTTTTGTCTTATTTATAACTTTTTTGTCATTGTCACTTTTGTTCTATAATTTTAATTTCAATCATTATTTTTGTTGCTTTTTCTGTGGTCCTTTTTTTGTCATCCTTTCTTATACGTTTTTTTGTCACTTTTTTGACGTTTCTTTTGTTACATTTTTGATCTTCTGTTTTATAGGCGTTTTTGTAGTTTTTTTTGCTGTTTTTTTTTGCATTTTTGTCACTTCTCTTGTCATCTTTTTTGCCACTTTTTTGTTTTTTTATCGCGTTTTTTAACTATATTTTTTGTTTTGTCTTTGTTTACTCCTTTAATCACCTTCTTTTGTTGCTTTTTTTCGGATTTCTTCTCACCCCATATTTGTAATTTTTTGCGTTTATTTGTCTTCTTCTTTAATCACCTTTTTCTGTTATATTTTTTTACTCTTTTTTTTGAGATTTTTTTTCGCTTTTTTCGGATTTTTTCTCTCATCCGTTTATATAAAAAAAAATTGTGGCCCTTTTTTCTGACTTTTTTTACAGGTTTTTTGTCGCCTTTATCCTGTCTCCTTTTCTCGTTTTCTTTATCATTTACGTTTTCTGGGTCTCTTTTGTTGTCATCTTTTTTTATACTGTTTTTTTTGTCAATTTTTTGCTTTTTTTGTGACGTTTTTGATGTTTTTGGCTGCCTCTTTTGCTCTTATTTTTTTCTTTTTTTTTGTCGCTTCTGTTGTCATCTTTTTCATCGTCGTTTTTTATGGCCCTCTCTTTTTTTTTTGGTTCCTTTTTTCATGTTTTTTTGTTGATGTTTTTTGTCTTTATCTTTAATCGCCTTTTTTATCTGTTTTTTGTCGCCTTTATTTTTTTGTGTTTATTTTGTATTTTTCTTTTCACTCTTTTTTGTCAACTTTTGCTAGTGTTTATTTGTTGCCTTCTTTAATCGCCTTTTTCTGTTACCTTTTTTACCATTTCTTTTTTGTTTCTTTTATGCAGTTTTTTCCGATTACTTTTTTTTGGTTCATTTTTTTATGGCCTTTTTTTCTGTCATGTTTTTACAAGCTTTTTGTCGCGTTTTTTTCTGTTTCCTTTTCGTGCTTTTTTGTTGGTTTTCGACTTTTTGCCATCTTATCTGGCACTTTTTTTAATTGTTTTTTGTCGGGCTTTTTGATTAAATTTTTTTATCAACTTCTTTAATCATCTTGTTATGTCTCCTTTTTATCACCTTTGTTGCGCTTTTTCTTTTTTATTATTTTCTCCCGTTTATTTTATAGACATTTTTTATGGCCCTTTTTTCTGTCGTTGTTTTACCGTTTTTCTGTTTATTGTGTCTCCTTCTCTCGCTTTTTTTTGTCATTTATTCGCCTTTTTTCGTGATTTTTATTTTTTGTCGTTTTTTTTGTCCAACTTTTTACTCGCAATTTTTTTAATAGTTTTTTGTCGCTTTTTCTGTGTGTCTTTTTTGTCATCATCTTTTTTTTACGTTTTTTGTCAATTTTTGGCTTTTTTTTTGTCCCGTTCTTGATCTTTTTCCTTGCCTTTTTTTTTGCTCATCCTTTTTTTGTCGCTTCTGTTGTCACCTTTTTTGACTTCATTTTTCATCGTCGTTTTTTATAGCTCTCTCTTTTGGTATTTTGGTTTTTTCATCATTTTTAGATTTCTTTTGTCATCCTTTTTTTGTCGATTTTTTGCGTTTTTATCTTTTTCTTTAATCGCCTTCTTTTGTCGCCTTTTTTTGTCTTTTTCTTTTCACTTTTGTTAGTGTTTACTTGTTGCCTTCTTTAATTGCCTTTTCCTGTCACCCTTTTAATCATTAAAAAAAAAAATTATGCAATTTTTTCTGATTACATTTTTGGTTTTTCCTCTGTATTTTTTTTGTTATCTTTTTTACGTTTTTTGTCAATTTTTGCCTTTTTTTTGTCACGTTTTTGATCTTTTTGGTTGCCTTTTTGGCTTTTTTTTTCTTTTTTTGCCGTTCCTGTTGTAACCTTTTTGGTCGATTTTTTTTTTCATCCTTTTTGTCAACTTTTGTAAGTGTTTATTTGTCTCCTTTAATTGTTTTTTTCTGTTCTCCTTTTTATCTTTTTTTTTGTTTTTTTTATGCAGTTTGTTCGGATGGTTCCTTTTGTTTTTGTCGAATTTTTTATGGCTCCTTTTTCTGTCATGTTTTTACAAACTTTTTGTAGCCTTTCTTCTGTTTCCTTTCTTTTGCTTTTTTGTTGTTTATTGCCTTTTTTTGTTATTGATATTTTTGTCGTTTTTCTTGGACATTTTTCTCCTATTTTTTGTGGCTCTTTTTTTGTCTTCTTTTTTATACGTTTTTTTGTCACTCTTTGGCGTTTCTTTTGTCGCGTTTTGATCTTGGGTTTTATGTTTTTTGCTTTTTTTGTCACTTCTCCCATCTTTTTTATTCACTTTTTATTTTTTTTTGTCGCGTTTTTCGATTCCATTTTTTGTTTTGTTTTTTGTCTACTTCGTTAATCACCTTTTTATGTCTCTTTTTTATCACCTTTTCTGTGCTTTTTTTGTCGTTTTTTTTCTCCCCGTTTTCTTATTTTTAGTGTTTGTTTGTTTTCTTCTTTAGTCACCTTTTTCTGTTACTTTTTTTTCATCTTTTTTTTTGTCGTGTTTTTTGAGATCTTTTTTTATAGAATTTTTTCTTTTTACAGTTTTTTTGTCGCCTTTATTTTGTCTCCTTTTCTCGCTTTCTTTTGCCATTTATTTGTTTTTTGTACGTTTTTTTTTGTCAATTTTTGTCTTTCTTTTGTCACGTTTTTGATTTTTTGGTTGCCTTTTTTGCTCTAATTTTTTTTTGTCGCTTCTGATGTCACCTTTTTTCGTCGCGTTTTTTTGTTTTTTTCCTTTAATCGCCACTTTTTTGTCGTCTTTTTTTCTGTTTCGTTTTCTTGCTTTTTCTGTTTTTTTTTGGTTATTCTTATTTTTGTCGATTTCCTTGTTCCATTTTTCTTTCAATTTTTTTTATTGCTTTTTTGTCACTTTCTTGTACGTTTTTGATCCGTTTCCATCGTTCTTGTAGCTTTTTTGTGTTCTTTTGTCCCCTTCTTTAATCACCTTTTTGTTGTCTTCTGTAATCCCCTTTTCCTGCTGCCTTTTTTATTTTTCTTCCCTTTATTAAAAAAGTGATACTGTCATTACAAACAACGCTCCAGGATTTTTATTTTGCAATGAATACCAATAACAACCACATTATTATTATTATTACCCCCATGTTTGAGTACTTCTGTCATTACCAACCAAATGTGTAATTCCTAGTGACTTTTAATTTGATAACCTCCCCAAATTTTTCCACCAAACCAATCCAGAGAGCGCGAGACGTTCAATCCGCGGAATAGCCCCGTTGCAACATTGACCGCATTCAAATTGTCATCTTTGTTTTAATATTGTGCGGTTTTTCTTAAAACAAAAAAACATTAATTACCAAAAATACTCCAAAATGAACGTGGCATTAATTTTCGCATTAACAATTTCGCTGTTCCCCATTTCGCACTGCCACAACAAATACACCGCTGAAGCCAACGCGAACAAAAAATTAAAAAACGACGACATGGACTTTCGGCCCGTGAGCCTGAAACACCTGGACAAGCCCTTCAGGATGGCCAAACTAAACCTACTGTGGTCGAAGGCAGTCGTGGTAAGTACATCAATTTTGTGCGAAGGACCCAGGACTTTGTGACTTTTCTAGAGGTTATCTGAACCCAAACTGAAGTCGCTATTTGGCGAGTTGAAGCTGCACGACAAGGAGGAAATAACGTGGAAGCACCTGAAAGCCGACGGGAAGGACAAAGACGGGCTGAAGGAGGCCGAATTGCGGAAAAAACTGATAACAATTATGGGAAACTACAACTTATTGGATCAGGCAGATGATGTGAATGATGCGTCCAAATATAGAGCGCATAAACCGTTGAATGAAGCGTCCGACAAATATCTCAATAAGAGTTTCTTCAAGGATAAGAAGTTGAATAAGTTGTGGGAGAAGGCGGAAACTGCGGGGTTTACCCCAGAGGAATTGGCGGCTTTGAAGGAGGAGTTCGGGCACCACCAGGACAAAGTGGATCAGTATTATGCGCTGTTGCACGACGTTAAAGGGGGCGAAGACAAGGATGACGGAATTGCGAGTAAGATGAATTTATCACGTGTCAATGACTTTAATAATAAACTTATAAATAGATTGGTGTATTTATAGCGATGATTTAACTAATACAGTTGTAAAAATTACAGATTCTGTTGACGAAAATCTGGACAAATACAACACCATTGAGAGTTTAGAGGATGAAAAACCTAATAAGGATTACCTTGATAAGGTGAATCTTCTCAGGGAAAAACACCGCGATATTCGCGATGGTTATGATCGCCTGTTTGTTCTGGCCGCTAAAGGACCCAGCAGCAAAGAGTTTGTGGAACCCAAGGTTCAAGGGTTGTGGAAAATCGCGCTTGAGTCGAATTTTCAACCAGATGAGCTGGAATCACTCAGGGTTGAACTTCTTCACTATGAAAACCGGTTGTTGAAATTGAGGCATCTGCAGGCAGAAGCGGCTTTGAAGGAAGATTGGCGTAAGAGGAAAGTGGAAATGGCTGGCGGTAAAACAGACGGGATGGTGTTGATGGAAGATACAATCAAAAAGCATGCTAGAAAGGTGGAGAAGATCCATCTGGATCTTGAAACTAGAATAATGCAGAAGCATATTGAGCTATAATCGTCGTTTGGTGTGTTAACAGAGAGATCTTTATACTTTTGTATTGTAAAAACTAAAGAATTTATTAATATAACGTGTCAAAACTTTACTATAAAATTTGATAGGAGTCCTTAGGTAGATTATCACAAATTGATACAATACTTGTGGTTACTAAGTGTGATATAGGATTTGGAAGTTTTGGATAATTTTTAACGTTGTAAGTTTTATGTTTTGTGCAATAATATTATTAATTTCAGAAATATTCTGGTCTTTGTTAAAATTGGCTACAATGTCTGCATACATCCCGTTCATTTCTTCCTTTAGCATTGACGTGAAACTCGCAGTTTTTTCTTTATCTTCATCAGTTGTTTGTTTTTCGCGATTTAGTTCACACTCAATCAATTTCTGCTCTAACTCTAATATTGTTTGTTTCAGATTAGGGACTTCACTGGATTCCTCTTGATATGAAGCTAATTGTTTCCTCAGTTCATCTGTTTCAGTCTTCTGAGTTTCAGAAACTTGACAAAGTTCCACCACTTTGCTTTCAGACAGAAGAATCTGTCTTTCAAGCTCTTCAATTTTTGCGTTTTTGTGTTCTTGTAGATTTTTCAGTTCAGTTTCAAGCTCTTGTTCGCGCTTTAAAGCTGTATTTTGGTGGTTCCTTTCCAACTTCAACTTGGCGTTTTCTTGTTGAATGGTGTCCAGCTCCCTCACCAGATTTTCCACCCTCAATTCCAACACTTTAATTTTACTTTTTGAAACGTCATCAGGTTTGTTGCTTGTTTTTTCTGAATCAACTAACTTCATGATGCAATTCAGCTTTTCTGAAATTTGTGACAAGTTCATTCTTAGCTCGCTATTGTGGGCGCGATTTTCAGACACGTATACGTTTAAAGGGTCATAACCCATTGGTTGTGTGATAACTACGGTATTAGGGACCGTGGGCATGCTTCTCTCACTATGTATAATATTAGCTGGCGTTAGAATAGTAGAACTAGAACTAGAACTCACGCTTGAAAAGTCTCTACTCTTACTCAAACCAGAAACTTTAGTATCCACAGTTTCCACAACTTCTTCACTTGTATCACTAGCTTTACTTGGTAAAATAGACTGCCCCATTTTAGCAATCCTCGTCAAAATATCGCTTCTCGCTTTATTTTCAGGCGTACTATCTTCTTCACTTTTTTCACTTTGTGGTTTTTCATTCACGACTTTTTTAGTGTCTTCAGACACAACTTTGCCGCCACACTTCTCCACCTGAGTTAAAACCGCCACGCAGTCGTCGTTGTTACTAAACTTTACTAACCAATTCTCTTTAGCACTGTCATAGAACGAAGCAAAATCATCCTTCTTGACGCTGATTGCAAACTCCGCCCCTATTTTGGCCCTCATTATCACATTGCGCTTTTCTTTGTACAGAATCATTTCAAATGAGTTTTGAGCAGAGGAGCCGATGATTGCACAGCCATGTTTGCCTATTGCCACGTATTTTCCATCAGTGCTAAAACGGGGTGGTAAAAAATTGTATTAATTGGGGATATACGCACAGTTTCCAGACTTGCACTACTCGGGCTAAAATGACGCTCGTTTCTGGTTTTGGCGGTGTTTCGGCTTTAGTTTCGCCGGGTTTTGGCTGTTTTGGGGCTGTGTAGGTGAGGGTCGACGGTTCCGCAGTTTCGTCGAAGTTTCGGTCGAACAGGGAGCGCAAGTTGGTGCTGGAATGTGGCGGATTTAGGAGTGTTGTGTGATTCAGAGATTTGGTGGTGTACCTGGAAGCTGGAGCGAAATCGTAATCTTCAAGATTGTTGTTCATTATTAATTTATAGACTGGTTAATAATAAATAAAACACTTCATTCCAATGTTTTTTTTCTGGGAATGATAAAAACAGTTCTCATAAGTAGAAATTATGCGGATAAATACATAAACTAAGTTTTAAGTTAACCTTATTTTTACACATTGTTTTATGACACTGATGACAGTTATGACAGTTATGTGCAAAATGCGCATGCGCCGATTGTATAATGACTTTTTCATAGATTTATAAAAATAATTGATGACAATTGAAACAAATTATACAAATAAATAGAAAGTCGCGAATACGAACAGTATTTTTTAAGTTCTTGTAAATAAGGTGGAATTTCAAAATCACAAATGAATCTCTAGAAATTAGTGTGTTGATGGTCACGGAGCAACATTTTCGAAATAATCAGTACGAAATGCGAATTTTTGAAGATTTCTAATATTTTCGATATTTCAACGGTCGATTCCGGAAAAACGGTTGCACTTATCAAAGAAACGATGCCGGAAGTGAGTTCTAGAGCTCGAAATCTACAAGAAAATATCTTTAGTTAAGTTTCGAAAATGTCAAAATTTGGCCGAAATTTGAAGAAGGGGGGACCATTGGAAAATTTTCGCTTTTAAAAAAGTTGTCAAAAAATTGTGAAAAAATTCAGGGATGTAGATCTCGACATGCTGATTCCAAAAATATAGGGTGTTGATGGTCACGGAGCAACGTTTTCGAAATAATCGGTAAGAAATGCGAATTTTTGAATATTTCTAAAAATTTCGATATTTCAACGGTCGATTCCGGAAAAACGGTTGCACTTATCAAAGAAACGATGCCGGAAGTGAGTTCTAGAGCTCGAAATCTTCAAGAAAATATCTTTAGTTAAGTTTCGAAAATGTCAAAATTTAGCCGAAATTTGAAGAAATTGGAAAATTTTCACTTTTAAAAAAGTTGCCAAAAAATTGTGAAAAATTCAGGGATGTAGATCTCGACATGCTGATTCCAAAAATATAGGGTGTTGATGGTCACGGAGCAACATTTTCGAAATAATCGGTAAGAAATGCGAATTTTTGAAGATTTCTAAAATTTTCGATATTTCAACGCTCGATTCCGGAAAAACGGTTGCACTTATCAAAGAAACGATGCCGGAAGTGAGTTCTAGAGCTCGAAATCCACAAGAAAATATCTTTAGTTAAGTTTCGAAAATGTCAAAATTTGGCCGAAATTTGAAGAAGGGGGGACCATTGGAAAATTTTCACTTTTAAAAAAGTTGCCAAAAAATTGTGAAAAAATTCAGGGATGTAGATCTCGACACGCTGATTCCAAAAATATAGTGTGTTGATGGTCACGGAGCAACATTTTCAAAATAATCGCTAAGAAATGCGAATTTTTGAAGATTTCAAAAATTTTCGATATTTCAACGGTCGATTCCGGAAAAACGGTTGCATTTATCAAAGAAACGATGCCGGATGTGAGTTCTAGAGCTCGAAATCTTCAAGAAAATATCTTTAGTTAAGTTTCGAAAATATCAAAATTTGGCCGAAATTTGAAGAAGGGGGGACCATTGGAAAATTTTCATTTTTAAAAAAATTGTCTAAAAATTGTGAAAAAATTCAGGGACGTAGATCTCGACATGCTGATTCCAAAAATATAGTGTGTTGATGGTCACGGAGCAACATTTTCGAAATAATCGGTAAGAAATGCGAATTTTTGAAGATTTCTAAAATTTTCGATATTTCAACGGTCGATTTCGGAAATACGGTTGCACTTATCAAAGAAACGATGCCGAAAGTGATTTCTAGAGCTCGAAATCTACAAGAAAATATCTTTAGTTAAGTTTCGAAAATGTAAAAATTTGGCCGAAATTTGAAGAAGGGGGGACCATTGGAAAATTTTCACTTTTAAAAAAGTTGTCACATAATTGTGAAAAAATTCAGGGACGTAGATCTCGACATGCTGATTCCAAAAATACAGTGTGTTGATGGTCACGGAGCAACATTTTCGAAATAATCGGTAAGAAATGCGAATTTTTGAAGATTTCTAAAATTTTCGATATTTCAACGGTCGATTTCGGAAAAACGGTTGCACTTATCAAAGAAACGATGCCGGAAGTGAGTTCTAGAGCTCGAAATCTACAAGAAAATATCTTTAGTTAAGTTTCAAAAATGCCAAAATTTGGCCGAAATTTGAAGAAGACCATTGGAAAATTTTCACTTTTAAAAAAGTTTTCAAAAAATTGTGAAAAAATTCAGGGATGAAGATCTCGACATGCTGATTCCAAAAATATAGTGTGTTGATGGTCACGGAGCAACATTTTCGAAATAATCGGTAAGAAATGCGAATTTTTGAAGACTTCTAAAATTTTCGATATTTCAATGGTCGATTCCGGAAAAACGGTTGCACTTATCAAAGAAACGATGCCGGAAGTGAGTTCTAGAGCTCGAAATCTACAAGAAAATATCTTTAGTTAAGTTTCGAAAATGTCAAAATTTGGCCGAAATTTGAAGAAGGGGGGACCATTGGAAAATTTTCACTTTTAAAAAAGTTGTCAAAAAATTGTGAAAAAATTCAGGGATGTGGATCTCGACATGCTGATTCCAAAAATATAGGGTGTTGATGCTCACGGAGCAACATTTTCGAAATAATCGGTAAGAAATGCGAATTTTTGAAGATTTCTAAAATTTTCGATATTTCAACGGTCGATTTCGGAAAAACGGTTGCACTAATCAAAGAAACGATGCCGGAAGTGAGTTCTAGAGCTCGAAATCTACAAGAAAATATCTTTAGTTAAGTTTCGAAAGTGTCAAAATTTGGCCGAAATTTGAAGAAGGGGGACCATTGAAAAATTTTCACTTTTAAAAAAGTTGCCAAAAAATTGTGAAAAAATTCAGGGACGTAGATCTCGACATGCTGACTCAAAAAATATAGGGTGTTGATGGTCACGGAGCAATATTTTCGAAATAATCGGTAAGAAATGCAATTTTTGAAGAATTTTAAAATTTTTCGAGATTTCAACTGTCGATTTCGGAAAAACGGTTGCACTTATCAAAGAAACGATGCCGGAAGTGAGTTCTAGAGCTCGAAATCTACAAGAAAATATCTTTAGTTAAGTTTCGAAAATGTCAAAATTTGGCCGAAATTTGAAGAAGGGGGGACCATTGGAAAATTTTCACTTTTTAAAAAGTTGTCAAAAAATTGTGAAAAAATTGAGTGACGTAGATCTCGACATGCTGATTCCAAAAATATAGTGTGTTGATGGTCACGGAGCAACATTTTCGAAATAATCGGTAAGAAATGCGAATTTTTGAAGATTTCTAAAATTTTCGACATTTCAACGGTCGATTCCGGAAAAACGGTTGCACTTATCAAAGAAACGATGCCGGAAATGAGTTCTAGGGCTCGAAATCCACAAGAAAGTTTAATTTTTGAAAAAGTCGTTTAAAAATTCTCAAAAATTCGTATATAGATCTTGACGTGCTGATTCCAATAATAGAGCGTGTTTAGGGTCATTGAGCAATATTTTAGAAAAATTCGGAGAGAAATTAAAATGTTTTTTGAAATTTTTAAAAATTACGGTATTTCAATGGGCGATTCCAGAAAAACGGTAAGAATCATCGAAGAAATGAGGCCAGAAGTTCTTGCTCTGGGTACGCCAAATTGAAACACAGTTAGTAGTAGTCAAATAGTTTGAAAATTTATACAGGTATATACAGAGGAAGCGTGTCTTTGACCAATGATAATATTGAATCAAGAAATGTGTTTTTTGGGTTGCCTAAAATACAGGTCGTCAAAGTTTGCTAATGCATGGGGGCATTCGGAGTGAACATGTGACTGTGGTTTGGTTATAGTAATAAAACCTTAATTCTCTTGTCGTTCTTAAATTGTCATATAGTTATCCCAAAACAAAACAAAAAAAAAAAGATAAACAAAGCAACCTTCCATCTTATGTAATTATTTATTTTTCTTTTAGAAATATTAAAAACTAAAGTTAATTTACAAGTTAGTGAGTAGGTACAATACAGACTAAAGCTAGATTTCAACTACGGCGACAACGTAAAGTCCTGATGCCGATATCTCAACGAATTGACATCAAATCTGTTACACACAGAACTCGACGACATGTTCGTCGAGCAATAATTAAACGGATTACTAGAGAGAAAAGGGCACGTTTGTGCCGCCATGGGTGCGTTAAAATTGCTCGTGTACAAATCCGCTTGTCCATATTGCCCATGCGAACACTTCCAGGGCATAACGTACTGCAGATCCGCGGCGGTGTGTGGAGGGATCATGTTCTGGTGCGGAAATAGCGGCTTTTCCATGGCGTCGGAGCGCGGATTCAGTGTCGTAATGGACTTATTGCAAGACAGTTTGGTGGATGGGGTTTGCTGCAGGGTTAAGCTTCGTTCGTTTCTTCGAAATTTCGCTCGGCGGTTTTGAAACCATACCTAAAGAGATTTTTGGGTGATTTTGTTTGACAGGTGAGGTAATAAGGGTTTTGCTCACTTGGACTCTGGCTTCGCTAAGGCTGACTTTGGCTGCTAGGTCTTCTCGGACAAAAGCGTCGGGGTAGTGGGTTTTTTCGAAAACTTTTTCTAGGGCTGCTAGCTGGACTGTGGTGAAGGTTGTTCGGTTGCGTCTGGGTTTTTTGGTTTTTTCTTCGCTTCGGGAGTTTTCGGAAGTGGAGCCTGGAACAAAAATGGGTAATTTTGTAAATGTTATTAGTCGTTTATTTTCAAAATAAAGAAGTTCGAATTTTTTAAATAAACTAGGAGTATATTTTATGAATACCGAAAATGAAATTCCGTAAGAAATACTGGAAATTGAATAAACTGCATACTATAGTTCTTTGAAGTTCATACTAACAGACTTTTTTTGGGATTATTTTTAAAATATATGGTGTATCAAACGAAAGCTTACATGGATTTTGAAAAATATGAGAAAAATAGCAAGTTGCCAATTTAATCATCCTGTATAAAAAAGTTAAAATTTTTTACACGTGAATCAAGATAGCTAAAAAGTTTTTTAAAAATTTCACATTTCCATCTTTAAAAATGACGAACTAGTCAATTTGTAAATTTATGTGGTTCTGGTTACATTTTTTGAAAAAAATCCAAAAATCTATTATACTGGGAGTTTATAAATGTTTGTCCATCAAGTTGGTCCAGACAGTTGCTACAAGATCTATAATTTGTGGACACCTAGTATTATTTGTTATTTCCGAAAATGACTGAAAAATCGAGAAATTGAAATCGAAAATCGAAAAGCTGAAAATCCGAAAACCCGAAAATTCCAAATAAAACAAAAACTCGAAAATTCGAAAAATTGAACAATCGAATAATCGAAAATCGAAAAATCGAGAAGTCGAAAATTAAACATCCGAAAAATAACGAAAAATCGAAAAAAAACCGATGAATCATATATTTGAATGATCGAAAATCGAAAAACGGATAATTGAAAAACCGAAAAGTGGACAAATAGAAAAATTAAAAAATTGAAAACTGAAAGAATCTAAAATCAAAAAATCTAAAAATAGAAAAATCGAAAAACTGAGAAATGGAGAAGTCATTCGAAACATTCGAAAAATCTAATAAACGGAAATTTGAAAATTCAGAAAATCTAAAAATCGAAAAGCGAAAAATGGATTAATCGAAAAATGGAAACATTGAAAATTGGAAAAACTGAATAATCGAAAAATCAAGTCGAAAATCAAAAATTCTAAAAATCGAAAATCGAGATTTCGTAAAACTAAATCGAAAAATAAAAAAAATCGAAAAATCGATGAATGTTGGAAAAATCTAACAGGAAATTCAAAAATTCGAAAAATCTTAAAATTGAAAAGCGAAAAATCGATAATTCGGAAAATATGGAAAAACTGAAAATCGAATAATTGAAAAAACAAAAAATTGAAAAAATCAGTGAACCAAATATTCGAAAAATCGCAAAATGGATAAATCGAAAATCAAAAATTCGAAAAATCGAAAATGGAGATTTCGTATAATTGAGGATTCGAAAAATCGATGAATATTTAAAAAATCAACGGAAATTCGAAAATACGAAAAATTTTAAAATCGAGAGCGAAAACTCGATAAATCGAAAACTGGAAAAACTGAAAATGGAATAATTGAAAAAATAAAAAGTAGAAAAATAGAAAATATCAGTGATACCAAATTTTCGACAAATCGAAAAATCTAAAATTTGAAAAATTGAAAACTCGAAAAATCAAAAATTGAAAATTCGAAAATTCAAACAACTGCACAATCGAAAACCGAAAAATCGAGAAGTCGAAAAGCAAAAATTTGAAAAATCGAGATTTAGGAAAATTGATGAATCGAAAAATAGAAAAATCGAAAAATCGATGAATATTCGGAAAATCTAAAAATTGAAATTTCAAAAATCCGAAAACTCAAAAATCCGAAAATATTGAAAAATAAAAAAATCGAAAATTCGAAAAATTGGACAATCGGATAACCAAAAATCGAGAAGCCGAAAATTTGAGAAGTCGAAAATCAAAAAAACTCGAAAAATCGAAAATTGATAGGAAAATTGTAGAATCGAAGAACAGAAGAATCGAAAAATAGATGAACATTCGAAAAATCGAAAAATTGAAATATCAAAAATTCCAAAATTCAAAAAACTGAACAATTAAACATTCGAAAATTGAAAAATCGAGAAGTCGGAATGTAAAAAATCAAAAAAATCTAAAATGGAGATTTCGGAAAATTGAAGAATCGAAAAATAGAAAAATCGAAAAATTGATAAATATTCGAAAAATCTAAAAAACAGAAATTCGAAAAATCTTAAAATCGTAAAGCGAAAAAACCATAAATCAAAAAATGGAAGAACTGAAAATTTGTAAATTCGAAAAACTGACAAATTGAAAAATCGAGAAGTCGATAAATTGAGAAATCGAGAAATCGAGAAATCGAAAATTCGAACAATCGAAAAATAGAAGAATCAAAGAATCGAAGAATCGGAGAATCGAAGAATCGAAGAATCTAAAAATCGAAAATTCGAAAAGTCAAAAAAATCGATTAATCATATATTTGAAAATCGAAAATTCTAACAATCGAAAATGGAAAAACCGAAAATTGAATAACCGAAAAGTGGAAAAATAGAAAAATTCAAAAACTGAAAATTTGTAAATTTAAAAAATCTAAAATTCGAAAATCAAAAATAGAAAAATCAGTGAACCAAATATTCGAAAAATCAAAAAATCGATTATTCATATTCGAAAATCGATAATTCCAACAATCGAAAATCGAAAAACTGAAAAGTGGAAAAACAGAAAAATGAAAAATTGAAAATTTGTAAACTTGAAAATTCGAAAATTGAAAAATATAAAAATCAGTGAACCAAAAAAATTCGAACAATCGAAAATCGAAAAATCGAGAAGTCGTCAAAAATCGAAAATTTAAAAAATCGAAAATTGAGATGTCGGAAAACTGAAGAATCCAAAAATAGGAAAATCGAAAACAAGAAAATTGAAAATTCGAAAATTCAGGGAACTTAAGAACTGAACATTCAAAAACTGAAAAATCCAGAGGTCGAAAATCAAAAATTAGAAAAATCGAAAAATCAATGAATATTCGAAAAATCTAAAAAACAAATTCGAAACTTCGAAAAATCTTAAAATCGAAAAGCAAAAATCGAAAAATGGAAAATTGGAAATTCGAAAATTCAAAAAACTGACCAATCGAAAAATCGAGAAATCGAGAAATCAAGAAATCGAGAAAACGAGAAATCACGAAATCGAAAATTGGAATGACCGAAGAAGAAGAAATAATAAAAAAATCGAAGAATCGAAAAATCGATGAATCGAAGAATCGAAAAATCGAAAAATCAAGAAAATTGATGAATCATATATTCGAAAATCGAAAATTCCAACAATCGAAAATCGGAAAACCGAAAAGTGGAAAACAGAAAAATTGAAAAATTGTAAACTTGAAAAATCGAAAATTGGAAAATCGAAAAATAGAAGTCAGTAAACCAAATATTTGAAAAATCGAAAAATCGAAATATGTATTGACAAATTTGAAAAATCGGGAAAACGAAAATTGAAAATTCGAAAATTTAGGAATCTGAACAATTGAACATTGGAAAATTGAAAAATCCAGAAGTCGAAAATCAAAAGTTAGAAAAATCGAAATTCGAGATTTCGAAAGTTGGAGAATCAAAAATTGAAAAATCGAAAAATTTAAAAAACGGAAATTCGAAAAATCTTAAAATCGAAAAGGAAAGATCGATAAATCGAAAAATGGTAAAAATTGAAAATTCGAAAATTCGAAAAACTGACCAATCGAAAAATCGAGAAATCGAGAAAACGAGAAATCACGAAATCGAAAATTGGAATTACCGAAGAAGAAGAAATAATAGAAAAATCGAAGAATCGAAAAATCGATGAATCGAAGAATCGAAAAATCGAAAAATCAAGAAAATTGATGAATCATATATTCGAAAATCGAAAATTCCAACAATCGAAAATCGGAAAACCGAAAAGTGGAAAACAAAAATTGAAAAATTGTAAACTTGAAAAATCGAAAATTGGAAAATCGAAAAATAGAAGTCAGTGAACCAAATATTTGAAAAATCGAAAAATCGAAATATTGACAAATTTGAAAAATCTGAAGAACGAAAATTGAAAATTCGAAAATTTAGGAAACTGAACAATTGAACATTGGAAAATTGAAAAATCCAGAAGTCAAAAATCAAAAGTTAGAAAAATCGAAATTCGAGATTTTGAAAAGTTGAAGAATCAAAAATTGAAAAATCGAAAAATTTAAAAAACGGAAATTCGTAAAATCTTAAAATCGAAAAGCAAAAATCGAAAAATCGAAAAATGGTAAAAATTGAAAATTCGAAAATTCAAAAAACTGACCAATCGAAAAATCGAGAAATCGACAAATCGAGAAATTGGGAAAACGAGAAATCACGAAATCGAAAATTGGAATGATCGAAGAAGAAGAAACAATAGAAAAATCGAAGAATCGAAAAATCGATGAATCGAAGAATCGAAAAATCGAAAAATCAAGAAAATTGATGAATCATATATTCGAAAATCGAAAATTCCAACAATCGAAAATCGGAAAACCGAAAAGTGGAAAACAGAAAAATTGAAAAATTGTAAACTTGAAAAATCGAAAATTGGAAAATCGAAAAATAGAAGTCAGTGAACCAAATATTTGAAAAATCGAAAAATCGAAATATTGACAAATTTGAAAAATCTGAAGAACGAAAATTGAAAATTCGAAAATTTAGGAAACTGAACAATTGAACATTGGAAAATTGAAAAATCCAGAAGTCAAAAATCAAAAGTTAGAAAAATCGAAATTCGAGATTTCGAAAGTTGGAGAATCAAAAATTGAAAAATCGAAAAATTTAAAAAACGGAAATTCGAAAAATCTTAAAATCGAAAAGGAAAGATCGATAAATCGAAAAATGGTAAAAATTGAAAATTCGAAAATTCGAAAAACTGACCAATCGAAAAATCGAGAAATCGACAAATCGAGAAATCGAGAAAACGAGAAATCACGAAATCGAAAATTGGAATAACCGAAGAAGAGAAATAATAGAAGAGTCGAAAAATCAAAAAAATCGATGAATCATATATTTGAAAATTGAAAATTCTAATAATCGAAAATCGAAAAACCGAAAATTAAAAAACCGAAAACTGGAAAAATTCAAAAAT